AAGAATAAGGCCTATGCTCTCGGTGTTGACGGACATCACTTGGTCACCACAGATCAGGCCAAGACGTGGAGATCGTTCGATATAGGCGACCAGCCGGCCTTACAGCACCCGCCCCTTGTTTTTCATGGATGGGACTCGAGTAAAGTCATATATCAAAGCGAAGAGTGTGCCGGGTTCTTCTGCATTGTGAGGTCGTACTACACAACTGATGATTTCAAGACCGTTAGGCTGTTGCGGGAGAGTGCGGCGGGGTGCTCCTGGGCAGTTGGGCACCCTCACTTCGCCGAAGATATGGATTTGAACCAAGAGTTGAAGGACAGATCACTGTGTGTCGTCCCTGGGTTGAAGGTGCCCTTTGGACACGCCAACCGCTTGGTATACTCGGATGATTACTTCGTTAGTAACATCGAAGGCACAGAGGTGAACTTACATGAGGGCCGGCCTGTCTCCGGCGTCATTAGCACAGCCGCTGTCAAGAAGTTCATCGTGGCCGCCGTCAAATCCAAAGGAACAGAAGAGCTTGCCTTGTTTGTGACAACGGATACGAATACCTGGCATCGAGCCGAATTCGATGGACATCGGATAGAGCAGGACGCGTATACAATGTTGGAGAGCACCAACTATAGCCTGCAGGTAGACGTCCTGACTAGCCCATCTAGCAACATGGGTGTCCTATTCACTTCCAATTCGAACGGCACATTCTTCAGCCGTAATATTGAACACACCAATCGCGATATGGAAGGGACTGTCGATTTCGAGAAGATTGCTGGTATTCAAGGCATAGTTATGGTCAATACGGTGAAAAACCCGAAAGAGGTTAAGTCCGGGCAAGCGAAAAAGGTCATCAGTAGAATAAGTTTCGATGATGGGCGAAGTTTCCAGCCTCTCAAGGTTGGTGACAAGAATTTACATTTACATTCCGTGACTACGTTCGCCAATATCGGCCGGGTATTCTCAAGTCCAGCACCAGGATTAGTCATGGGAATCGGCAATACAGGTGATCACCTTCAAAAATACAGCGATGGCGATCTTTATATTTCAGACGATGCTGGTGTGACTTGGCGTCATGCCCTTGACGGGCCGCATAAGTACGAATTTGGCGACCAAGGAGCTGTGGTTATGGCAATCAGCGACAAGGGCAAATCCAACAAGATCAGCTTTTCTCTTGACCATGGCAAAGAATGGGGATCAGTGGAGATCGAACATAAGATATATCCTACTATGGTCACAACGACACCGGACTCCACGAGTCTAAGATTTTTACTAGTCGGCAAGCAAAACGAGGAAAGCGGATTCATTGTCTATTCCATCGACTTCAAGGGATTGCATGAGCGGAAATGCGAAGAAGATGACTTTGAGAAGTGGCCAGCTAGACTAGACGAAAACGGCGAGCCAGACTGCTTGATGGGTCATAAACAATTCTTCCGCCGCAGAAAGGCGAATGCTGACTGCTTCGTGGATGAGGAGTTCAAAGATCCTCAGCCGATTATGGAGCCATGCAAATGTACGGCAGAAGACTTTGAATGTGAATTCAAAGGCAGCGAGGATGGGAAGAGTTGCATCCCGGCCCTACTACCGGTGCCTCCAGAAGGGTGCAAGAACCCCGATGATACCTTCATGGGACCGTCTGGTTGGAGACTGATACCAGGTGACACTTGCATCCGTGATGGCGGTAAGAATCTGGATCACGATGTTGAGTGGCGTTGCAAGGATGCAGGCAATGTACCCACATCTGGCGAAATCAGCGTGGAAAAACAATACTTTGATGCAAGGCAATTCAGCGCCTATTATTACCTAGAACGTCAGTCAAGCAGTTCTGGCAATGACGAGACGATTGTTATGCTCACCAGTGAACGTGCGCTCTATGTATCACATGATCATGGGAAGACATGGAAGCAGCCACTGAAAGGAGAAGCTATCAACAGAATCGTTCCTCACCCGTACAACAGTGATGGTGCTTTTCTCTTGACGGACGGTGCGGAGGGCTTTTGGACTGTTGATCGTGGCCAGTCATTCAAGCCTTTCGATGCACCAGCGCCTCCAACTGAAGAACGCCTTCCAACCCTCACGTTCCATCCCCAATATCAAGACTGGCTGATCTGGACAGGGGCTGTTGATTGCGGATCTGGTGATTGTCACTCCAACGCCTACATCAGTAAAAACCGCGGGGACAATTGGGAGCTGCTGCAACGCTATGTTCAAAAGTGTGAATTCGAAAGCAGGGAAGGCCGCAAAGATAGCACGAACCTCATATTCTGCGAGCAATTCGAGAATGAGAACAGAAACAACCGACTACAACTGGTATCCAGTAAGAACTGGTTTTCAGACTCGACCGTCCATTTCAGAGATGTCATCAACTATGCCACCATGTCCGAGTTCATTGTTGTGGCGTCTCGAGATACAGAAAAGCCAGACTCTTTGGTCGCGAGCAGCAGTGTCGATGGTGAGACATTTGCGGAGGCAAAATTTCCTCCAAATGTCAACGTCCCTGTCCAAACGGCATATACTGTGCTTGAGAGTTCTACTCACGCCGTTTTTCTGCATGTTACAGTAAGTAACTCAGAGGGGGCCGAGTACGGATCGATTATCAAGAGTAATAGCAACGGAACTTCCTATGTGCTCAGCCTTGGTGCAGTGAATCGAAATTTTCGGGGTTATGTCGACTTTGAGAAGATGCAAGGTATAGAAGGCGTGGCAGTTGCAAACGTTGTCAGTAACGTGAATAAGCTGTCAGATGGGGAGCCGAAAAAGTTAAGGACAATGATTACGCACAATGATGGAGGGCAATGGACCTTGCTTTCTCCCCCAAATAAGGATGCAGAGGGCAAGGACTTTGGGTGTTCTGTGGAAGGAGAAGGCGTTCCTGGCTGTTCGCTCCACCTTCACGGCTATACAGAACGTAGGGATGAGCGGGACACGTTTTCGTCCAGTTCAGCAATCGGCTTGATGCTCGGAGTCGGCAACGTTGGTGACCACCTCGGTGGCGAAGACGAAGCCGATACGTTCATAACCCGGGATGCTGGCTTCACATGGAAGTCGGTCAAGAAGGGCAGGTACATCTGGGAGTTTGGTGATGCCGGCTCCTTGATTGTGATCGTGCCTGAGTCGAAGCCGACCAAAACTCTTTACTACAGCCTTGACGAGGGAGACACGTGGTTAGACTTTGTCTTCTCGGACGTGGAGATGCAGATTGATGATATCTCCACCGTACCGTCCGACACGTCCAAGAGCTTTCTTCTCTGGGGCAAAGAACTGAAATCGGATTACCAAGATAAGCTCGCGACAGTAAGTGTTGACTTCAGTGGGCTCCGTTCCTCCTCGTGTAAATTGGACGAAAATAGTGCCGAGAGCCATGATTATTACCTCTGGGAACCGAAGCATCCGTTCCAAAGTGATAATTGCCTGTTTGGTCATGTTGAGCAATATCATCGGAAGAAACCGTCAGCCCAATGTTGGAACGACTGGCGTGAACCTCATGTTCACAGTATCGGAGAGAACTGCCCCTGTACAAGGGCTGACTTTGAATGGTAAGTATTCCCCGTCAACTGCCCTCCCTTAACTTTCATTAAGCGCTACTTTATACTTGTAAATGGTGCAATTACTGATCCAGATGCAGTGACTACAACTACGAGCCTCAGAGTGATGGCAGCTGTGCCCTTGTTCAAGGACTCGCTCCTCCTGATGCCATGGCTGTATGCAGAGAAGACCCTGAAGCATATCAATATTGGGAACCCTCAGGATATCGGCGTCTCCCCCAATCAACGTGTCAGGGTGGACGGGAAATGGATCATATTGTTTCCAAGCCTTGCCCAAACAGAGAGGAAGAGTATAAGAAGAAGCATGGGATAAGCGGCGCAGGTCTCTTCTTCGCGATCGTCATCCCTATTGCTGTAGCAAGCGCTGTCGGTTACTATGGCTATACTAGGTGGGACGGCAAGTTTGGCCAAATTCGGCTTGGAGAGAATGTTGGTACCTCCCAGGGTCTGCTTTCGCGAGATTCTCTGCTCATCACCATCCCGGTTACCATAATTGCGGGTGCGGTGGCCGTCATAAAGGCTCTCCCACTGTTAGCTACAAGTCTCTGGCGGAGCGCGAGCGGATATGTGCGCCTAGGACGCAACCGGGGCTACTCCAGGCCTTATGCGTCTCGCGGATCATTTGCCGCCAGGCGCGGCCACTACACTGGTGTTGTTGATGACGAGGATGAGCTTCTTGGTGTGGAAGATCTCGAAGCGGATGAAGAGGAAGAGCTGTAATACTATGGCTCGTCCTGGCACCTGTCCGTCCACCGTGTCGGGCCCATGAGGTTATGTTTTATTATGAGAACGTCATGTATTGAAATGTGTCTCTATGTATGCGTCTTTTGCGTCCCACATCTTTCTTTTCTTTATTTAAATCGCCTATATAATTTGCTTGCCATAGAGGTGAAGCAGAAACAGTGCTAATGGGTATCTTGCAATATTCTGGAATTTACGAAAATATGCCAGTTCCGGGAACAACCCAAGCAACTCGAACCATTACATTTGAAGTCGTAGTAGTAACAAGATGACCTAAGGAGACAGGTATTACCTCCTGGAGCCGGGCAGGAAGTTCAAAGGATTGCATGGCATGGTACAAATTGAGACACCGACCCCGCAGAGAATTTAGTCTCTTAACTGAAATTTGCTCCCCTTCATGAAAGAGGCGCTGAATGACGACGAATCTTCAATAAGACGCTGGTAATCATGCATGTGATGCAAGCCCGAACAGCCCCTTGAATCCATATGAGCGAGCATATTATATTACCTTGTACTACGCGTACATTCACCTCGAAAGGGAAGCATCGTTTATTCTGGATGCTTAACCACAAAAAAAAGAGAGCGTAGCTCAGCATCATGACCATCATCTCCCCCTAGAATCAGCCCCCCTGAGCAAGCCAACCACCTACCAACACCCTCCCCCGCGGTGAATCCCAACGAACACACCGAACACGACAGCGCCAACATCAAAATAACAAACAAGACACTGAAAAAATAGGATCACCCACCAACTTACATATGCCAATCACCCTGCTTTACTCCACAATGGCAACCGACTGGTGATCAAGCAAATCAAGACTAGTGACATGGTTTAATGATCAATGAGTGAAATCACTCGGGCCGAACGAGCTCGGTAGGAGCTGGATGCGAACAAGTCATCAGTCAGCCACTGATTCAGAACAGAATGGTTGGAAGGATTGGCTCAATATATTACCTCTCCCATTGTAGTAAGAGTATAGTTCCCCTCACCATCATACATAAAGATAGGGAACTCTGGGGTGGTAAATTCACTCATACTGAGATACACAAATCATTGTTGTTAGCCAGGTACGTGCGTGGTTTGTTGTCGCATTATTGGGATGAGGGAATTATAGAAATCTCCGGGTAGCCAATCAATCATTAATGGATGGATTGAGTGGTCGCTTGTCTTCTTTTTGCAAGCTATTCGCGGGTACAGCTTAAAAATCGAAAAACCAGGGCCAGGGGGTAGAGAACGATACGTACAACTGTCTACACATGCCGCATGGTGAAGCGGGAGGTTTGATGTCAGTCGCAACGGCAATGGCCTTGAAGTTGCGATGCCCGGCCACCTGCAAAGCAGTCCGACGAGTAAGCAAATGCATGAGTGATTTTCTTCAGTTGATTTCTGACATGTGCAAGGTACAGCAAGTACTAGACCCAGAGATTAAAAGAAAAAGAGGTGTAGAGTTGATAGCTTACAATCGCACTTCCAAAAGCTACTCGCTCCGCACAAGTTCCAACAGGATAAGAGGCATTTTCAACATTGGCGCCCTGGACGAATTCGCCCGACTCGGTCAAAATGCATGCGCCAACACGGAACTTTGAGTAGGGGCCTGTTGGTGTTATTGATGTCGCATTGGTTAATTCTGAAGATACGGCGGCTTTTTCTCCAGTGGACTGGCTGACTTACAGTATGCGGTGTCCTTGGCGGCGATGGCCTTGGTGGAGAGCGTCTCGAGCTCTTGGGCAGACAGGTGGTCGGCGGCGTGTACCATGATTTTTCCTTTGTCTAGCTGGATGGCTGGATGGGTCTATATCCAAGGATGAAAGTCCAACGAAGTTGACAGGTAGCGAGCGGGTCGATAGATATACGGATGGATGTAGTAGGAGTTGTTACTGCGCGGGGAAGAGGTCATCTGGACCGGAAAAAATGCCCGTATTTGTTGTTGTTATTGTTGTTGTTCATGTTTCCACAACCCCTCTCTTATCGCGAGGATTGACTTGTCTCAGTGTGACTCACGATAATGATGATAACACGGATAACCAAAATTATCTATATTAAATCTTCAAAATTTATCTAATCTAGGTGCTTTTCTGTAACCTCGGCTGCCAGTGTTTCAGGGTTGTATCGACTCCCACCCGATATTATCCATGATGTCATCACTCAAGAAATCGTCAAATGCCTTTTCGGGATCCCCGCACACACCTCTATATCAACAAAAAATAAAGCGAAATTCAACAAACTGAAGATAGATAAGATTCATAGACACGAAGTAATAATGAACAGCAAAAAAATTGTAAACAGATCAACACTCTTTTCCTTTGCACCAATACCAGATTGATGGTCTCAAAAGAAGATGTTGGAGTCTAACTCGGAACATGACTGTAGGTATCATACGAAAGCGCCTCAACCGGAAACTTTATAGACAAGAAGCATCCGACGAATGTCGGGGGAAAGGAAAAGGGAACCGGGATGTGACAGAGTTAAAGAAAGGGTGATAGAGATGAAAGAGAAAAAGAGAAAACGAGGTAAGAGGAAGCTGAAAATCAGGCAAAATGATTCCGTAGTCCCTCATAGACGGTGAAGATGAAGGCGGAGCTGGGGGCTGATCGAGCGCAGGTGATGCCACAGCCTCGGTACAGAGCTCTTAGTCCTTGCTGCCTCCACAGGGCTTTGGCAACTCCCCAAAATGTCTGCCGTTCGCCGTTGTATGCTCCTCGCGTAACATCCTCTGTTTGCATGCGCGATTTGATCGTATCGGCAGGGTAGAAAAGGAAATTGTAGCTGACGCCTGCCGCGGCACCTGCAATCATCTTCTGGTAGATAGGAATGGAATCAGATGATGTTCCATCTTCCTTGAGCTCTGCGGATGGGGCACGGTATGCGCGGAACAGTGCAGATACCCCCTCATAGCCACCGAACCATGCAGCACCGCCACCAGTCTCACGAATCAGTGTTCCCAACTGTCCGCGCCAAAAGCCTAGGAGACCATCTTGACGGAAGACAGTGGCTATCAGAGTCAATGGACCGGGAGCGTTTCCGCCAGACGCCGTAAGGGGAACTTGCATCTTGCACTTGATGAGCTCAACGGGGGTAAGGGCAAGGGAAGTGATAGACCCAGACGCGGCGCCGCTGAAGACCAGTGCCGAGAAAGGGAGATCATCAGCAGGAGAGTAGACAGTGGCCTTCAATATATCTTGAATCAAACGGTAGCTAAAGAACAAGCAGCTATTCTCAATGGCAGCACCTGCCATGGGAGCGCTAATGCCCCGGTAGAGCCCGCGTAGGCCATCTGCTTGGAAAGATTGACGAAAACAATCCAAGGGACCTTTGTATCTGAGAGGAAGATGATCCGGTTGAGATTGGAGCCGAACTTTGACTGTATCAAAAGGGTACTCGATCACTTTGCCTGCCATTCCTGCAGCCTAGTGTGGTCAAATGTCAGTCAAGTCCACGACCACATGGTTGGGCACAATGGTTATAACTTACCGACCCGAACACGATATCTTTGAAGGCCTCAAGGCCCTGGTTGGGCGGGAGTGTAGGCAGCTCCATTGAAATATCATCATTGATTGCTATCGCATGTTCGGCGGCCGCCATCAGGGAAAGGTGGATGAGCAGTTGAGCTCGGGTTACACGACAGGACTTTGACGGGGGTATGCAAGGAAAGAGACAGTGGGGGGAGAAAGGATAGGCAAGTCTTATCGAGAGAGCATTGTAATTTCGCGAGCTGTTCGAGGAAGAGAACGGTCTAACGAGTATTTAAAGGCTTTCAGGGAGATGGGGCGGTGTGGTGGTGACTCGACGAGGGGTTTTGCTTGGAGGTGTGCCCGAACCACGCGCGATAAATTAAGAGAGAGCGAACATCGCTTGCCAGTAAAACGGAACACGAGCCCAAAGGCCAAGGGGGCAGGGGAAATCGGGATATGAGCGATGGGTGGGGTGGGTAGACTTCGCGGCGGTTGGCTGATTGCGGCGAATGCTGCAACTAGTCGAGTGTGATCCGTCAGACTTCTCGCCGACAAATCCCTCAATTCCATACCAGACGGGGCTCGGCGCACCACTTCTGCCGAGATCCGGTTATCTGATCGGTCTAAGATAACTTTTTCCTCAAAACTCGGAGGCCCCGAAAAAAAAAGAGGGCAGCGGAGAGCTAAGAGAATTCCATCATCATCCCGTCTGGAATCTCTCTTTTCTTTTCTCTCTTCTTTCACATCCCAACACCACCCCCCAAACTGGTCGATCGGCTCGTTTGGCTCTGCCTACCCTCGGTCCGCATGTCTTCCGCGCCTTCAGCTGCTGCCCCCATCAAGGGCATGCGGAAAAATGGTATGAAATTAGCTACCCCACTTTTTTTTCCCTGGCCTTCGAAAATAACTGTTGCTAATGCTTTTCGCTTCTCGGACCCGCAGGAAAAAACTGGCATGACACCAAGAAGCCGTTCCGCCCTACTGCGGGCATGACCTCCTACGCTAAGCGACTCGAAGCACGCAAGCACCATGAAGCCGTGAAGGAACACGAGAAGGAGTTGAAGGAAGAAAAGGAAGCAGAAAGACAGGTAGGATACGACCTGTGACATATCTCGGGGAAGATCATGTTAATCTTGCTGACAATTACCTAGGCGCATATTCAAAGAATCAAGGATCGTCGAGCCGCTAAGGAGGAAAAGGAACGCTACGAGAAGATGGCAGAGAAAATGCACCGCAAGCGAGTCGAGCGCCTGAAGCGCCGCGAAAAGCGCAACAAGTTGCTGAATTCTTGATTGCAGTCAGCTGTGCTCCTTCATCTCTTTCATTATTCTCCCATCTTCTTTCCTCTCCCACCTTTTCGCCTCTGCTGTTGTTAACTAACCCGTCTACATCTCGTTCGAGTGGTGGCTGATGTACCCCCACGCCGGAAACTTTCTGTATCATTCACCTTCACACCATGTTTCCTTTCTTACCGGGTTTGGGAATTATTGCCGATTGATGGCTACTGTTTCATGACAAGTGGAGTTCGCTGGCGACCGTGGAGTTAGAAATCAATTTCTCAGAATAGTATATACCACGTTGAATATACCGGACTATCGACTCGGTTTCTGACCTATCCATCATAACACACCATAATAGTAGCTCTAGAGAAAAGCCAGGCAATACACATTAAAGGAGAAATTACAGGTTTTTTCTTTTCTTAGAGACATTATGCTCGGATGTACTGCATACTCGAATCACAGTATATATATTCCGAGGCCTGCTGATCCTTTGCGGGATCAGGGGCCGATGCCTTCGATCGGCCAGCGCATGGATCAGCGCTTGGCATCACGTTCAACCACGTTGTGTTTCACTTCTGCTAGCGAGTCGTACGACCGATAGAAAACATCTTCAGAAACCGACCGTCCAGTTGACCAACGCGTTGAGCAGCGTTATCGGGTCAGGGCGTGCAAGGAAAGTGGAGAGGGTTCACTGACCTGGATCCTTCCTGCCCGCCATGGTTTCCCAACCGTCCAAACAGCTGTCCGCTCCTTACCCACCGGCCCATGGCTCTGGAGCCGCCGGAAGCCAGAAACCAGCACCACCCAGCTTGCAGCCCTCCAGTGCCACCAGCGACCATAGCGGAAGTCTCCAACTCGGCCAGAATCATCATGGTCGCGAAGTGTCTCAACCTCCCGGTCTTACTGGAGAAAAGCATCACCACCATCATCTGACCTTCGACACTACCCGCTCAGATCGCGCGAAGTCTAAATCCCGTTCGAAGCACAAGCACAAGCACAGTAAATCCGGCGACTTTCGGTTTCACCGAAGAATGAACAACCTCGCATCGTCCGCTGGTTCCAGAGGTCTCTTGCCAACATGGTCCGGTACTAAGGAAAAGGACAATGATGCCGACGATGGCTTGCTTAGACCCATAACGCAGGAGACAACCTGGTCGCGCTGGAGCTCGGATTCCACCGCAGCATTGGGTAGTGGGAGCCGAAAGGGCAGTTTGCTTGATGTCATAGACCCGAGCAACAAGCTTGGTCCCATTAGGCGTCAAGAGATACGGTCGATGGAAGACCTGGAGCAGGTGAAGAGTAAACGAAAACAAGGGGAGGAGTAAGTCGACTGTTGTCTGTTCACATCTGGGATGATTTTGACTGGTTTGATGACAGGTATTTACGGTCTGCCCTGTCAATGATCGGGACCCTTGCAACGGATATCACCCGTAGACTGGATTATACGTACTACAACCTCCTGGAGAAGCTTGCCGCATTGAATTCTACTATCGCGTCATTCCAGGAGCTTTCTAGTTCTACCTCTGCCCTTTTTGACGACTTCCAGCGGGAGACATCGGGCTTGGACAAGGAAATCCGGAAACAAATGGGGGAATTAAAAGAGTTTCAGCCCCAATTAGAGAGGATTAAGACGTTGGAAGATCGCATGAAGACGGGGCGACAGAGGGCCGAGGGACTTAACAATCGGCTCGCGGCAATGCGCCATGAAATTGATCGCTGGGATAAGAAAGAACTAGAATGGCAGTCACGAGTTAATCGCCGCCTTCGGGTCTTCTGGACTGTGGTGGTAGCTGGTATGCTTGCAGTTCTCCTCGCCATTGCGATTCAAAATTGGCCAACTGTGATGGGCCCGGACTCTTCCGGATTACCTTCGCAAGCGTTGTTTCTGACAAATTCGTCGCATGCTCTACCTCTGGAGAATGACCGTGGGGCAGAGTCAGATAGCTCCAGGGAAGCTTGGCCACGATCTCTGCGGAATCTCCCTTATCGCCATACTAACCGGCCCTCTGGAGGATCAGTTCCCGTCGTAGCGACGGCTACCAGAGATGATACCAACGTCAGGACTACTGATCCAGACCCACTGACGATATTTGATGAGCTATGAGCGCGCTGGAGTTTCTAATACCGAGATTCAGGACAATTTTCAAGGCCAGCCTCGAGACTGTCGTATCTCCGTTGATCTAATGTGTAAACCATAAATAATGTCATGATACCCAGACTGTCCCCCAAGCATAGCATTTTTGTACATTATGCAATCATCGGCCCATTGATAATACCTCAGGGCGCTTCAGTCGCCTTCTTCTTCTTCTTATCCTCAATGAGCTCAATATTGGCCTCCGGGATCTCCTTCCCGTATACCTCGAGCAGCCATTCCTTAACATCATCACTTACATCACCCTGCACGGTAATTTCCTCAGTTCCACCCGCAGACCTAGTCATTGAAGAACCAGTAGCGAACTTCTTGCCCAGATCCTTAGCGATCTTCTTATTCTCCAACCCATATATATCCAACCCCGTAATAACAGTAACATGTTTCCGCTTGTTCCGCTCAACCCGCTTAATCTGTACCTTAGACGCCGCCTTCCGCTCAGCATCGCGCGCCTCAGCCGCAGCAGCCTTGGCCTCCTTCTTCGCCGCATCCTTAGCTGCGCGCTCCCGAGCCGATACCGACAATGTAGCGAGATTAGAGTTGAGGGCCTCTACATAAGACAAATAGATCGTAAGTTAGCGAGCTGAGCTGAACACCCGGGAAAGCCGAGAAGAAGAGGGAAATAACAACGAACCCTCAGAATATAACGACTGGTACATGTCCGGATGAGCGTCCTTCAACCATTCCTCGCATTTCTTGGCCGTGCCACCGAATTCACAGTACTAGATGATTCCGGATTCGAGGTTAGCTGGCTGCCATATGCCTCTTTGGAGGGTATAAATAATATATTGCTGGAAGGAGCAGAGTGGCTTCGTCCTCGCAGATGAAGATGGGCCTTAACATCGAGTGCATAGGGTGTATGTATATATGTAAGCGTACCTCCGGAGGCAATGTGCAAACTGTTCACATCAGACGATCAGTTAAATTTTAATTCCCTTCGGAAACATCGCTATCAAAGCGATAGCAGAGACGAGAAGAGACGACGTACCTCCACAGTAAACAACATGCTTGGCCTGCGACTCAGCAGGAACCGGTTGGGCGACTTCGGCCATTGTGATGAACTTAGAAAAATAAGAATGGACCTTTTTAGGACTGTGTTCCGGGGATAAAGCTATGAGGTGTAGTTATTCAAGTCACTATGAATCGATCTATCTGGACACAAAATCTCGTTCGCGCGATATTAGGTAGGCCCCTCCCGCCGCCGCCGCTGTCGACCGCCTCTGAATGAGCGCGGGGTCGGGTCTGGATGTACGTATTTCCTGGTGGGTTGCGGTTTGGTTTTTGGGGCTAGGCCATTTTGGGTAGCTACCTACCTATCTATATCTATCTATCTATCATGTGATTCATGCTATGTTCTTGTATGAAGAAGAGATATTTTGGGGTTGGGAGGATAGAATTCTTGGATTTGTTTATTAGGAGACAGAAATGAGTGTTGGGAACGTCTTGGTGTCATGCCTACTATACTAGTTGGTTGGCGGAATGCTAGTATGTCATGCTCTTGTAGTGGAGGATTGAAGCTTGGTTATGATGCATTAGTCGCTGGGCCTGAAGCTTCTGGTCTTGTTTGGTGTCCTGTTTATACAAGGACCGGACTCATTTCATAGACTTTAGGATGGATCGGTTGGCAAGCTATTCTTCAGACATCCAACTTCAGACGCTGTAGCAGAGGGTACGTCTAGGTTGATATCGTAATGGGGTACCTCTTGGGCTTGCTTATGTTAGACCAGTCTAGAATCTGCAGTCAGTTGGACCTGGAATCTTTGCATGACGAGTTGCCACACGGATTGGAGTTGTCTATCCCATCCACTCAATCGTGCACCAATTCGTCGCGGATTGGGAAATGACAGTGGCGATCAAGAGCCGTCCAGCAAACATGCTCCCTGTCATGAGGCTTGAGGTTAACGCCACTGGAGTGGCTGCATAAGATCTTTGAGCAGTCGAAAACAGGATAGACCTTCGAGAATGATTCATTTCAGCCTTCGAGCATGCGACGTCTGATGCCAATATACTCGAAAGTGAGAGGCAGAATGTGTATTGGGAAATATTCTGAGGGCAAAGAACAGCATTGTCAATGCACACGCGTGCAGATAACGAAGCAGGGACTGGATCTGAAGACATGCTATCTGTCTGGACGGCGATTGGTGCTCGAAGCTCCGTGAGCCCGGACTGGCCAGCATAGTTTATGCATGAGTGACTTGGCATGGCCACATCCTCGTCAATTGTTGGAATTGAAGACTAGAGTGGCTGCGTCTGCCGCGTCTCATAGTGCGGGCCTGCATAGACCAGGCCTTCAACGGCAACTCTGTCAATCAATTTGTTAGCAAACCCATAGTGGCGTTTACGTCTTTCCCGCGGCAAGCCCATTTAATACGATGAGTATGTAATTGCAGGCGCCACCTCAAACATTATTTCACCATGTCGACTTAGGGAAGGGAAGATGAGCAAAGAAGCAATGTGCGAGGCAGGGTAAATCTGAATCACAAATGTATATATACGCAAGAGCCAAGAATGTACGGCGTATCAACAACGAGCTACTGCATGTGTTGGTTGGTAGCTCCTTAGTAAGATGCAGCGGCGAAGGTTGACAAGCGTGACAGTCTACATACAGTGCGCAATAGCTATTGTGCTCGCACACGGAGCGAATGCTAGCGGGTATGAGAATTACTTGCCTGTTACTAGGGCCAATTGCACCGTTGCTCCCAGTTCTAGACCACCGAAATGCCGCACTGATGATTTGAACCTAAACTTGGAAGTCACTAGAGTAGTTTGTTGTCCAGTAGGTTGGCGGTCCCGGGGGAAAAGTCACTTCGTCCGAATCTAGTCGCTGTCTCTCCGACTTAGCGAAGAACTAGTGAGGTTTGCGCAGGGCCAGATAGATGAGACCGTCAGTCAAGTAATGAGCTACCGGGCCCAATCGGTTTGACCCCCCGCACCTCATATCCTTTTCCAATGAGCAGTTGCAGCCACTCCAGTAGCCTCGGAGCCTACGAAAGGGCCCGATAGGCGTACCAGGGCCATGCGGGTGCACGGGCACCGGGGGCTTTTAGACACGTCAGTGAAAATGCCTCGTTACAGATTCCATCGGCGCTTTCGCAGAACAGGTATATTGCTTCGGTTACGGCAGACTCGCGTTCGAGAGAGTCCTGGGGAAGCGCACCTGACGAGGTAAATGCCATGTTGGGAATATATCTACTATCAACTAACAATACGCATGAAAACGAGAGGAAGCGAAGACATACGGGAAGGAGACCCGGGGCAAAGCCGGGAAGACGGACGCAGCGCTGGGTTTTGCCTCTCTATGAACACCCCGCGTTTGAAAGCGGGCTAGAATGATCGACGGTGGCCTGGCCTGAACGTTTCTTTCCGGTTGGTGTTGGATAGTCGGGGTTGTCCGTGGCTCCTTCAGTGAGTATAGGCCTAAATATAGCTGTTCTGATAGGTCATGATAGGTCCTGATAGGCGATTCAATCCCTCCAGTTCGGTTCCTTGGGTCCAAGGCAATCTCGATCATCTAGATTGGGTCTGCCATCCCTTTAGGTTCTCAAGCGACGTAATTGTTGATAAGGGGAAGTTGGTACACAGAGGTCCGTGATGAGTAGGACAAGAATGTCTAGCCAATCATAACGGAGGTAGATGATAGCATGCGAACAACGGGGGACGGTCTATGCAGTAGTATGTCCCATATGCAAGCGTGGCTGGTTGTTGCTTAATCCCTGAGTACCGCATGCGGCGGTCGACCAAAGAGAAACGTCAAAACACCCCTCGTGGGAAGGTCCTTGCGTTTACGGCGTACGTACCACGATCTGTCATCCTTGCCATCAGTTGTCTGACATGCATCGAGCCGCCTTACGGGCTTCTTTGACGCCAATCTTAATTACAAGATTGTTTCACCCCCACTTGTTGTCGAGAGATGAGGGGCTGTTCGCTTGCACGTTTGACCACGCCACAGGGGGAGATGCGCAGACAGGGACGGACATGGCTGGGCCGCTAGTCAGAAGGAGGATGCGGACGAGTCTCTGGAAACGAGACCGTAGCTAGTCTTGTAGGTATTCCTAGTGCGCATTTGAGTGTCCGGAAACGGGCACTAAGCGCGGATCAACGGACCCAGGTGGGCGTTGTTTTTGAGGGATTGGCGCGAAGAAGTACTTTGGCCATATAATTAGTTAGCTCTGGCGTTTTGTCAGTCAGCATTCAGCAAGATCCAAATCCGAAGCTTCTCGTGGATTTTTAAAGCAGGCCATTTCAAAGGAAAAAAAGCATGACATCATGACCTCTTAGGCCCAGAAATAGTTCAATTTCTTCCAATAACTTATCCATGATGACAAGATGAAGATGGGAGACGACATTGATCGCTAGAGACAAGATCGTATAATAGCTCCGGTGAGTGTTTACGCCAGACGCTCGGATCCACGTGCTCCACCGCAGGCAGGAGAGACCTGCGTGCTTAGTGTTCTGTCCAGCCCTCGCTCTAAACTAGCAGTCTAGCTATCTACCTAGTCTAGTCCAGTCCGTGCCCTACTGCTCTAGTACTTCACGAGCAAACATGCAAATGACGGAGGAGTAAGTGACTTAACATATCGGGCTTAGGGCGTCGAGATGGTTTACTAGAGGGTTATGGGGCATCCACTTTGCCCTATCGAGAGACAAATAATCGTACTAGACAGACAGTGGTAGTACAGAGCACTAGCTTGAAACTGAAGACTGAACCATATTGGAGAACAAACATCGCTGTCAGCGTGGTCGATGCGCGGGTGCTCGTTCAAAGCGTATGCAAAGCAACCGCACCAAAACATCCGTGCATTCCGTCTAAGACATTGGAAGAAGGTAGTAATCGGCGAGATGACACAACTAGCCGGAAGCTTCCAGCATCCCGTGTTATCCCGAGGACTTGTCGGCTAGGAACTTGAACACTACCTCCCGGAGGATAGCCACAGGGCCCTGCCTCAATTTGTTGACTAGTTATATACATCCATTCATGCTTAGTAAAGAGGAGGCACAGGGAAACCCTAGCTTCTAATATGAAGATTATGATTAGTAGATCGTACAGTTCTAGGTGGATCGGGTCATTCATCGGGAGGAGAAGGGGAAATGGATCTTCTCTGTTTTGCGGGTGCCCCGGAATGGACGAGCAACGGTCGCGCATTGGCTTGCCGAGGATCTGGGATCTGGACTTCAACAGACCGTGCGGAGGTTTCCCCAGAAATCCAAACAGGCAGGAGGAGAGTGGCCGACAAACTTTCGGGTTCTTTGTTCTGCTTCTCCTTATCAATATCACATCATCCTCTCCCAAGGGATGCTGTGGGAATGAAAAGCCGGCGGGTCCGATATTGGACGCATTGGGAGGGGTTTCGCTGAGATAATTCTCCGTGTTGTGGCATGGGAATGAGATTATGATGATGTTCGCGCTAGCTGCCATGCCCCGTCTAGTCTGGTCTAGTACTATGTAGTTAGGTGACTGGATAAGGCCATTGATCTGTCATCCCGGCATGGGGAGGTAGTAATCTATCGCACGTCCCTCCTGGACAGCTTCAAACCGGATGTTAGGAAGAGACCTCCCTAGAGTGCATAATTAGCGCATCGTGGGGGGTTTCGGAGCCCTTCTAGACTCTGGCCGCAGTACGTAAAGTCCGGTCGATGATTGATTGATTGGTATGCAGCTAGGTATAGATCGGAGGTTGTAACTAGATACATAGCTCGGTTCCTGATAATAAGGTAGTAATTAGCTAGACAGCCCAGTACGGATATCTAGTCGTAGATACGAAGAGGGTGAAACCTCCAATACGTCCGAGGGACATTGCTTCATGAGGCTGGCTCTGGATCGTCGATGTTCGGGTGTCAAGACTGGTCTAACCCCACCTTAACTGGAGCCAATGACAGGCTGTGATATGCCTCATGGGACCCACACTCATGCACCACGAAAGTTACACCAATTCAGTGCCGACCAATCAGCAATGAGCCAGAACACTTGCACTAGACGGGAAAGAGTAAAACTCACTGGAGACTAGACCGACAAGTCTTAGCGCAACTGCTTCGTCCCCACCCGGCCGGTTTTCCATTCGAGGTACCGTCGTCATGATCACCTTGCGAGCAGTTGGTTCTCTGGTGGCAAACAAAATCGACAGAGAGAGAGAAAAAAAAAAAAAAAAAAAAAGCACCGAATAGATTCTATGCTGGTTCAACCTTGTTTGATGCCCTCCTTGGGAGGTACCCGTACCTAGGTACTGTGCGCTGCTTGATACGAAGGAGAGAGAGAAGGGGGGGTGGGAATATCCTCGTACTTCTTTCTTAACCCACGCGTACGTCAATCGTAATCAACTCTCCAACAATCCTCCTTCCGCCAAGCCATCGACGCGGTACCCTGCGTCTCTGATCCCTCTCGTTGGTTTATCTACCAAACCTCACTTGATCCGCGCGACATCAACGCTTCTTTTCCCCCCCTTCGCCCCCCCTACGGTCGGGTATCTAGACTCTCTAGAACCTCCAACGTCCTGAACCTGGTCTAGTTACCTGGGAAGAATAAAAGATTTTCATTCAAACGAAAATTGAGAATTAGAAAAATAAATACGGGAAAGAAAAAAAAAAAAAAAAGGAAAAGAAAAGCAATAAGAAGAAACAACGGTCTAACCCTCCCATGCATTATCGAATCTCCACTCGCCACTATCACTGAGCTCGCACTCGAGAAAGAAAGAGAGAGAGACAAGAGGTATTTCCGGTTTCCCGCCGCTTCCCGTCAACGTTACTTTACGACTCTTGCCTTTCACCCTGCGACTCTCATACACGCTGGTTTTATTCCCGACCTTTCATCTTAATCTAGCTTCGACCCCATCCAAGTTTCCGATCCTTTCGTGCGACCGAGCAAAAGGCCTTCTCCACCCCCCTCCGAGGGGCTTGTTTGGAGCCGTTAATAACTCTTGCATATCACTCCTTCCCTGACACCTTGATGGCTCCTTAAGACACATCTTGCTAGCTCTCTCGTCCTATAACATCTCCGAGGTGCCTTAGCTGCCCCTTTATATATGCTGCCAATCAAGACCAAATCGTACTCTGGCCTACCCCATCTTGTACCATGATCTCAGCACTTTGTCGCCATTCCTAGATAGCGGGCCTTCCCTCGACGCCTTTCGCGCCTTTCCATTGGAGACGAAACATCCTATTTCAACCAATTGTTCCACCTTTTCTTCTTCAGTTCCAGCCCTTGCAGCGGCCACCTCTTTCACAGTTTGCCCTTATGTACCTGATTGAGCTGCTAGGATGACGGCCATACTTCCCGCCTCGAATGAGGGGCGCTCACGCTTCTCTCCGGACCCTTTGCGAAGTCCAATCACTCAAACCTACTTCCTCGAAGAGCCCAATGTTGCTACGGCCAAGTTCAATCTGCCCGCATACCATCGCAAGGATCGTTCTGATGCTGTGGTGTCCTCGCCGTCGCGGTCAGAGTCTCCATCCCCAGATTTCACTATTACAGCAGTGGGGAATCTCCCTCCCACGCCTGCATCTCTGAGCAGTTTGTCTCTTATGAGTGAGGACCATGATGACGACGAGTTGGTTCTACCTTCGTACGATTCCAGTCAATTCGCACAAAAGGAGCCCGAAGCCCTCAGTGATGTGTCTGTGGACTCCTCGGCGGACTTTGCACGCTTGACACAGGCACCAGCTGCTGATGATAGTACGATCGAGGACGAGCCATCGAGGCATGTGGATTACCTTTCTCATGAATGGAGACAGGAGGATATTTGGGCGTCGTGGCGTTATGTCGTCGCTCGGAGGAACGTTTACGATAATGGGACAAGGCTAGAGAATGCCTCGTGGAGGACGTGGGCTAAGCTGAAACTCAATCTGGGCACAGTATCGCCAGAAGCCCTCAACTGGTCAGTTCTTTTTGTCATAGTCTCCCAGGATTTGGTTCTTTGCTGATACCCCTTACAGGCTGAAGGACTGCGATGTAACGTGGTTGTACGGACCCTTAAAGACATCCAATAAGCGGGAGAAGGCATTCAATGGCTCTCCTCCTCCCAGCCGTCTAGAGACACCTACCTTATATCCGGATAGGAAACCGATTCTGAAGAAGAGGACGGCTTCTGAGACTATCTTGCAGCGTTCTCTGTCCCAGCATACACTCTTGCAACATGCGGGTGCCATTCTAAAAGCACAGGAGGCTGAAATCAACCGTAATCGTCCCCCATTACAGAGGGCCTCCTCGGAGTATGGACATCTACTTAGCAAATCGTCCACCACTCCCGTGGGGGGTACCGTTAAGGGTACCGCCACAAATACGTCAACGTCGGCCACTCCTAGCGAACGACGGCATATTCACTTCAACAACGAGGTGGTGCAATGTATCGCTGTCGAGGCGAAAGAGGAAGACGATGGATGGCCTGTTCATTTTGGGGATGAGTCATCAGAGGATGGTATCGTTATGATGAAACACATCCATTCCGACTCGTCGCTCAGCGACAAAGGTACGCCTCGTGGTAGCCTTGCTGGCGAAAACAAAACCATCGCCCCGCTTCCTTCCACCACACTCAAGTACCGATGGGATGCGTCAGATCATCCGGATTTGCAAGATTGTCGAGGGGATGCCCGTGCAAACCGACAATCCACATCAGAATCGCCAGCATCCTCAATAATGGGTCGGTGGTCCAGCTACTTCTCAAACTCCACGTCTCCTACTTCATCCGGAGCCGAGAAATCGACGCGGACAAATGGACGATCTGGCAGGAACATTGCACCATCTGCCAATTTTCTGCTTGATGAAGAAGAGAATGACATGGAATTTGACTGGGAACCAAGCCGCAACTCATATGGCCTAGGGAGTCTAAGCCGTCCTTGGTTTGTGAATCCAGAAGATGATGAGGAGCTCGATTACTACTTCCATTCGATGTCTCCGGGAGGAATGACACCCAATGAAGAAGATGATGAACCATTGAGTGCAAGCATCTTTGACCGTGTGGCGGACACCGTAAACACAGCCAAGGATATTGCACATGTGATATGGAACGTCGGCTGGCGGCGGTGATTCTCTCTCCTTGGAGCATCTCTAAGGTCGCAGAGCGGGCTTTACGACTTAATGCACTTAATTTCCTAACCAACAATTTCTCATGCATCTTTCTCATACAATAAACGACCAAGAAGACGGGTTGCGGCGTTCTGAGCTTTCACCAATCAATGTTGCTGGCTGCTGGTCGACGATAAAAGGGGTTACAGGAGGGATTGTTTATTTCTTTTTCTACATTTTCCATGGGGCTGTATGTGCCTGGAGGAAGCCGGAATCTCCAGAATATGTTTTGGCGTAGTTCATGTTCGGTTTTGGTTCTGCCTGGGGGCGTTCTTCGATGGGCTTTCATGACGGCTTTAATTTCCTTGCATCTTATTTTCCTTTCACTCCCAGATATCACCACGCGAGGTAGCATTGACTCCTTATGACCCAATGAGACATATGATGATCCAACACACAAGCAGGTGGAATATCTACTGAAGTAGTGTACATTATGTTACAACCCAGAACATCCTTTCATACATACCAAATCATCACATCTCCCACCCAACTCCATTATTAGTTCAGTCAACAATTACAAGTATGTCACCATAACCTTCTACTACATGTAGACAATTACCTACTCCTGCTCATGGAGCACGGCATTTCACTCTTCCCTACCTCTTCCCCCAAAGACGAAACCACCCTCCTACCAACCCGCAACCCATCGATGATACTAACCATAGATAAGCACGACTTTCCCACCACTACTTTTCAAGAAAACCCAGACCCAGAAAATCAATCGGATCTAGAATGTATGTAATGAATAGAAACAGAATCCTAAAACCAGACAGACAAAAACACATCATTTCTAATACTTACTACAAGGGTGTTCCTTTCTTGCCCTCCGTTACTTTTCTTTCCTAGTATCAATTCTCGTCTCCCTTCTTTACGAGAACTTCCGGCCATAGCCAAGAGATAAATCTATACCAAGTAAACCACGCAACTCGTCCATGACATATCCCCCTAATGGTGAAGACTAGGTACCTATTTTCCGTATCTAGGAAAAGTTGGATAGCTTGAACCTATAGAACGTAAGGTACTTTTGTAAGTTTTATCTGATGCAGAAATGGAAAATGTCAATCGCCAATCGGAAGAAGGGGAATAGAAGGCAGGCAGACAGGTTTATTGTGTGGTTTGCTTGGAGGTGGGGGGGGGGGGGGGGGGGGGGGGCAGGTAGGAGGATAATGCGGCATAAACTGCGAATTGATCAATAGGATGAGATGAGTAAAGAGTGAATCAGGGAATGAGGGAACTAGTCAACTAGTAGGTATGTACTTTGTCAAGTCGGGAGGTTAATTGGTTGGTTCTCGGTGGACTGATTAATAACGAGTGCTATAAGGGGAGGGCTGATGGGATTTAAGCATCGGTGCCTAATCGCTGGTGGGGATTAGTACAAACTAACAATCTGCTACGGAGTAGTAGTTACATAGTCATCTAATGGGCACGGATTCAAGGGAGACCGTGCATTTAGTTGGCCAGAGCGGGTCTGGAGCCGGATCACGTCGTGCTCAACGTTACGTCAGTACGGCTAGAAGCGGGCTGGCTGGCTGGCTCATCTTGGAGATTCAGTATATTCAGGGGTGGTGGAGAAATTTGAACGATGTTTAAATGAGACCATTGTATTGTACTTGTGGGCTCAGGAGCCACAGACCTCCAATATCAGGGTTTGCGACGATGTATATGCATGCACCAATAGCAATAACCAACTCCTAGATACCTATAAACCTAACTCCCTGTTGCATTCGAGGTTTTCTGGACTGTAACGAGGAGTATCAGCATCATGATTGGAAATTTAATAGTCGATATCGATCTTATTTGTAATGTGTACTTACATTGGGTATCATCAACAAGGAACAAGAGGGACGGAAACACGGGCGACGCGTGCGTTGCAGAGTGACTGCATAGCACCACCATACATAGCAGAAAACAGGGATTCAGAAAGGGTTCCCATAAGTATAAGAAGTAGGGATAAACCCCTGTTGAGGTTCCTTGACCTCTGCTTGGTTAAAAGCAAGATGTAAATAAAAGAGAAAACGGCTACTCAACCCTCCATCACATCTTCCGTAGTATCACGGAACGTCTCCGGGAAAAAGCCCGGTGGCGGCCAAATATCGGCAATTGAGGGAGGATGCACTAACGGCTGAGTCCCAGCGAGTCGGTCTGGATCATGGCAGAAAGCCTGGAACGTACTCTCGTCAATAAACCCGAAATCCTTCAGCGCAGCCTCGCGATTGTTAGCCCACTCTGTGGTGTCGAGGTATGCAAGATCCTTGAAGATGGCGTCAATGTCGCCTGTCGACCCGATACGCTCTGTCGTATCCGAGCCCCTATCCCCCGAAGGTACAGAACGTTCGTGTATAACACCCGGGCCTGTGACCGACATCATCGAACTCGACACGCCAGAGTCGGGTGTGGACGGATGGGGGCGTGGGCCCCGCGGTAATGCTGCATTCAAAGCAGCAGTCGGCTCGGACTTGTCCATGTGTGCCGCCCGTCCGTCCAAGGGTTGTTGGAAGGATACGTCCATCATAGATAGCTCAGGATTCTCCACCGTGGGATCTTTTGGCGTCATGTACTGTCCGTCTACAGGGATAGTGATGCCCATGATAGCGGATGTATAATCGGAATCCCCCATTCCAGGTGCAGCCCTTCTCATGTGAGGGTTCATCGAAGGCTCTCTCATTATGCTGGGATACCCTGCCGCCGATGTTGCTATAGACTCAGGGGGTAGTGCAGTACTGGTCATACCGCTAGCCATTCCGGGTGCTGATCCTGCCTCTGCGGGCTGATAGGATAGAGGAAGGTTTCCGGGAAGATCCTTAGAACGGTACCAGTGATCGATCGAAGCAGACAATGAACGATACACTGGCCAAGTTGAACTGAGCTCCGTGGTTCGCTGGAGAAGCGCTTCAGTCCACCGTCCGAAAGGGAACATGTCGGATTCAATCTTATTGCGCAGAGTGAACGCTTGTTCGGCGATAGTGCGTAAAGAAAGCTCGAATATGGGCGGCAAACCGCAAACCTGGAAGTTATCAAGGTGCTGGGACACCATCGGAAGAGCTCTATAAAGGAGCTTCTTGGCTCCTTCGATAGCTGGCCGTTGGGAGCGGTGCAACCCGAGCTCCTGGGGCGCAATGCGCAGATAAAGCCATAGAAGCGTCGCCACATATGTCAGGCCAAGGTAGCTCTGGTGTGGGAGTAACGCCGAATGTCGTTCCGGATAGATACTTTCCGGGCCAATCAAGCGACATCCGAGCGGGAGACGATCATCCCATTGCTTGAGCTCCATGACCAGTTGTTGTGCAAATAAGGGTGCGTTTGGTCCGGCCGTGGAATCGCGAGCAATCTTATTTAGCACACCGGCTAACTCGACCAGTCGATTGAAGCAGCTTAAAGCGAGCAGCGGACCCCGACGAGGGGGGCTCTTCCCCTGTCCAGCTCCCGTGGGTGGCAAGACGTCCGCCCACGAATTCCACTCTTCCAAGCCATCTTCTTCCAACAGGCCGACCATGGTGAGATCACGAGGATGCATGCACGGTCGCCTCGACAAACGGAACGAAAGCAATGAGTCGATCACGAAACAGCCAAGAAAAACCGCCTTTCCTTGCCTCAACTCGTCCGATCGTCGAACATCCATAAAGGCTCCAAGATCCATAGAAATGGCCATGCGCACAGCCTGACCACTCAGCAGCCAGGCAGCGGTCCAGTCCTCCAGGCCGATGTTCACCAACGTCAGCAGCAACAGTGCCTGCACATGTCCAAGCTCGAACCGCTCCGTTTCAGAAGGGATCAAGCTGCGAGCTACCGAGTAATACTCCTTGGTCTTCGAAAGCGCTTCCAACGCCCCGTCCTGCGGGTTAACCCGAGATTGAGAAATGGTATAACTGAGCAAGGCCCACAATGCGGCGTGGTCGCCCGAACCTGGGGCCATTTTTGCGACGGATAACGGCGCGCTTGCATACAGGTACGACGCTCGTAGAATGTTATGTTTTGCGACGATTGGGAACCATGAGTGAGTGACTGCGAAATAGACGTCCAACAGTTGCGAGGTCTGCGGGGGTAATTGTAGGGCATTCGTAGCGCTAGCGGTATACGACGGGATCCTGCTGTCGGTAGGAGCGGCCAGCCGAGGCCTTTTGGCACGGGGGGAGATGGAAGGCTCAACAACACGCGGAGCATCATGAGCGAGAGGAGTCGAGCTACGGTCAATGCGAAAACCCCATTCACTTCCGGTGCCGTCGTCTTGGTCCTCCCGGGAGCGCTTTCCTGAGCTCTCAGTAACTGGTTCAGAGTTAGAAAGCATCTTCTCGAGCGCACCATATAGGCGACTGGTTTTCCAAGATTCATGCAGTGTCTCTGACGCGCCATCATCAGTCCATAGAGACATGAGCTTTTGTCTCCGACCAGCTGATTCGGCAGTGGTTCCCAGCAGAGTTAGCATTGTGTCTTCGAAACCCTCGATATTGCAGATCGACAAGGCCCAGAGCTTCTCCAAACCACGAACATAGCCCTCTGGCAGCCCGCGCTTCTTTGCATGGGGATCATATGAGCAGGTCTGGCCTGAAGCCTGGCAGGCCGAACAAGCGGGACGTAATCCATCGCACTTGTCCTACAAGCGGGAGATCATTGTCAGTATGGAGGGTGGAAATCAGAAACATGGTGGAGAACTAGATAGAGACTGCAGGACAAGCAGATCCAGGATGGGGGTAAAGGAAGTAGGAAAGAAGTAGCAGATCGCCAATTGAGAAGGTAGACAGCTGAGCTGTAGCTCCGAGGAGATAAAAAGCACCGAAAACGGGCAAGTACGTGACGTGACGCAAGAACACCGCCCCGAGCATTACCGAGTACAAAACGAAAAATCACCTGCAGTTCGGGGTTGTATTGCACCGATCGGGCTAAAAGCAAGAGGAAAAAATGGAGATGGAGAAAGGGAGGGGGACATCTATAAAAGAGTGGAGAGAAGGAAGAAGCAGAGAGAAGCCAAAATAGAAGGTATAAATTGATTGTGTCTCACTGACCTTTTTACTTCGACAGCGATCACAGGCTCTCGACACCCTCTTCCGTCGAGGGGCTTTAGAATCGGAACCCTCGTCCATGGGAGAGGGTTAATTAGGAAAAATATGGCATGTCATGAAAGCAGAGAAAAGAGAGGAAGAAGAGAAGAGGGTAGCGAGCGAAAGGTGGTCGGGCCTCCCAAAAAGACACCGACCAGAAGGGGGAAGGTTTAAAAAGGCGTGACGGAAAAGATAATTCAGTTCAGTTCAGTCAGTAGGGAATAGGAATAATAGGTAAGTGTAAAGTAAAGTAAACTGGGAAGGTTAATAGTCGCCAGGCAAGCCGAGAAAGGGACCACGGCGGAGGGATTGGAGCAAGCCGAAAAGGTTATCCCGCAGTGCATGTCCGTCTGTTATAAAACAAGAACCTCGGGTCCCCAGACGCAATCGGAAAAGAACTTGTCGAGAAAAGCGATGGCAAGTATTACGCAAGAATCCAGGGAGTCTAAAGATGGATGATAGCTACCACAGCCACCTCAGGGTCTCGCTGTTGAATCTCCTTGGTCCATCCAATCCAATATGGAGTTGTGCATCGGCCCAGACCCATCCTGAGGCAACCAAGTTTAGAAGGGGGATCCGGGAAAGCGTAAAAAAAAAAAGACACTACGAACTTGCAATCTGAAGGGACCGCAACGGGGGAAAATACATGGGACGGGAGAAGGAGGGGAAAGGAAAAGATCGGGGCAAAATGTCGGGATGAGCAAAAAAATTTGGAAAAAAATAAAAATAAAATGAAATGAAATAAATAAAAGTTGACTACTCTCGACTTTACACTAGTTCACTGTGTCTTAAGTGAGTTAGTGGATGATGGTTGGGTTTAGTCGCCTTTTCCGGGTGAGTTTTGGGTTCCGTCGGGACTGAGATTGGCAGCTGCAACGATTTTCCAGAATTCAATGCTAAAGGAAAAATTGAATAGAGAATAGATCAACTAAATGAAGGAAAAAAAAAAAAAAAAAGACCTTTTCCGCTCTCAAAACAGTAAGAACATCGAGTTAACTTAAACGATAGTGCTAAAAAGGGCATTTACAAAGAGTTTCCCACTTTTTGTGTGGTGTGAATCTCCTCAAAATGGAAGACCATGTAGTGCCTGAGGCCAGCACCCCACACCGGATCCCCACGGCTTCTCCACGACGCGGTGTGGGAAAGTTTCCTCCCAACTAACTGGCTTCTCCTACGCCCCTACACAGTCCCTGCACCTTTTGGCTGCAGGAAAACCGAGACTTCCGCCATCCTTCGCCGTCTTGGCTCGGTGGGATTTGTGCTCTCTCCATAATCCATACTCCATCACACCCGCCCGATACTTAGTGTTGTCTGATAATAATAACTCCCTTGTGCTCAGCCTCCTCCGTTCCTAGCGACTCGCAAAAATAGCATTCTCTTGAACCGTGTGAATCAGCCAAGAAATCTTCGCATCAACAATGCGCGTAAAACAACCATTGCCAGTTCCTATTATTATCTTTCGCGTCTGAGGGTACTAAATAAGTCCAGAGGACAAGAATAGTGTGCATCTAAGCTTTCGAACCTATAATGTTCCTACATTCTTAGTTCCCCTTCCCACCCCCCCATCCATGGCCATCATTATATCCCGACTACGAATCATGGGTCCTCCAACGCTGACCCCAAACATCCATTGTCCGTGGCTATCTACAACACCTAATGGATAGACGAAAAGTGCGCCCAACCGTCTTCCTAATTATCAAACTCGAAACCCACCAGCCCAATCATTGAGCAGATAGGAACCGCCGAAAACCGGCCATTCCGCTGGACCAACCATGAAGTTCACCCCACAAAGGTGTCGAGCCAAAGAAGAATCCAAACCATGACTAGTCTACTGTCTAATGTGGCACTCCGAACTAACCGACCCTTTCCCACTTCTGATTCGCCGGTTGCAGGGGTCCGACACCCTTCCTGGTACTCCGTACATCCTTCTCTTCAGCATGCTCCCTGTCCGTGTCAAGCTCTTGACTCGGCCCATAAATAATGACCATCAGATCATTCGTGGATCCGGGAAACGATCCGGCATCCCGACTCGGTAGTCATGCAGATGGAGGAGATACACATCTTCAAGGGTTCATCAGTCCCAGGCCTCCGGCGTCGGTATACCCATCGGGTCCGAACAATCGTGCAGGGTCCTTACCCCGGGGACACGAAGTGATACAGTAGTACCACTCACTATACTCCATTTAATTTTAAGCATATACATTCAATTCAATGCTACTGGGCTAATGGGCTGAGGTGCTAGAGCTTAGAGGGATGTTGGCACAGATTGACCCGGACTTGACAGAACAATTATCTCTGCCGATTGGTTTACCATCATTTTCGCAGCTGCTGGCTACCCACCTATTAGCCCATCACACGCCCGCTAAACAGGCGTTTTGTTTCTGCCTGGAGAATGGGGTCGGTTTACTTATCAGGGATGCATGCTTATTGATTAATGATTAATATTAGTATTGCGGTTGAAGAGACTAATTGAGTAGGTGGCTACCGATGGATCGGGGGTTACACTCAGGCCAATCTATGTCGTGTACGGCGAGTCCCGCGGATGGAGATCGTCTATCCGGCTATTGTCTTATCCGGTAACAGTACGGAGGGCAGGCGGTCACTCGTGGCAGATGCAGTGGTCCGGCAATGCGGCTGGAGATGCTGAACCCGCGAACCCTTTGGGACTCCGGTGGCTGATGACCGCAACCGAGCATTCTTGCCATGGTCCCCCGGCTGTCATCTTCTGGTTCTGTTATAATCACACTTTCTCCAGCGCGCCCCCCCCTCCGTTGCCTTTGCCCAGCAAACCAATCACGCCTACTAGCCCAGCCTGCTTTACGCGTTTCCGTCCCATTGCTGCCCTCGCAGGCATGCCAGCTGCTGCGCCAATTGACCGCCTTCGTCCCTGCTGCACTTACTGCACTCCGCCTCCGCCCGACAGCTAGCAAAGCTAGTCGGCCATTTCCTCACCCCGCCATCTTCCCCGGTATACTAGCTTCTCCGCTTCAATCACAAACAGGAAAAAATAAAAAAAAAATAAGAGCGGCCCTCACCAACGCTATTCACCCTCAATTGAAGCATGGCAACTCCGAATATGACGGAGAGCAGATGATTGATCCTCACTGGGTTGCTTCGGACATACTGCTGATATCATCTCGATTCATCGTTTCTTCCAGCATCTTAGATTTTCTGCAGCGGACGGTCTTGCTTCCCGCGCACCGACCACACAAGGCGTTTGTCCCACTGATCCACGTAAACGTCCACAATGCACAAGATTTCCCCGGTAGATAAGCGCCGGAGATTTGATCCTGATGCCTCTCTGGTGCTCGTGGGCATCCGGGGGTGCGGGAAGCGGTCTCTGGGATTTGTTGCTGCCACTGCGTTAAAACGGCGGTTCATCACGGAAGACCACTATTTTAAGGAAGTGACCGGATATACCAGGCATGAGTATCTCAAGCGCTATGGAAGTCAGGAATTCCAGCAACGCGATGTCGAAGTCCTCAAGTCAATGCTTGACAACCACCGCTCCCGCTGCGTGATTGAATGCGGTCTCGGCAGTCTTACTCGTCCGGTTCAAGAGCACCTTCGTCACTATTCTGCTACCAATCCAATTGTATACATAGTTCGCGACATGGATCGCATTCAAAGCCTATTAGGTCTGGAGGAGCAATCGGTAAAACTGCTTGCCGAGGGCGATCCCTTACACAGAACATGCTCCAATTTCGAGTTCTACAACGTTGAAGATCGTTCCAGTATCGCCGCTCAGACGGATGAGGGATCGCCGGACCGACGATGTGTTGATTATTCCTTCAAGTTGAAGGAAGCGAAAGAGGATTTCACGCGCTTTGTGCGTTTCGTGACTGGTACAGATGTAGGACACACCAGTTATGACTCGCCTTTTGTCCTACTTGAGACTCCCCCCGAACTTCGCTCCTTCACCCATGCCATTTTTGTACGAACTTCCGACCTGGCAGAAGGCAATGTTAAACTACAAGAGCTTGAGTCAGGTGGTGATGCCATTGAACTGTGTGTTGACCGCTGGGGCGCGGGACTGACAGCAACTCTCAGCAAACAAGTCGCTCTACTTCGGAGGAATGCTCGTACGCCCATCATAATCTCGATAGATAAATCTTCTACAGGAATTGCTAGAGATGATCTGTCTCCCGCAAAGGTGAACAATCTATATTTCGCTATTGTGGAGCATGCCCTACGGCTGGCGGTCGAATATCTGGCCGTGGACTTGAGCCAGGAACAGTCTCGAGTGGAGGAGGCAATTCGCACCCGCGGCAACACAAAGATTATTGGTCAACGCATATTTGAACCTTCTGCGCCAGAGACGTGGGAGAGCGAAGAATGCCTTTCCCTCTATTTTGAAGCCGAGAAGCTGGGGTGCCAGCTCGTTCGCTTTCTCCGGGTTGCAACGACGCGTGAGGATAACGCAGCGGTTGCTAAATTTACAAACAAGGTTCATGCCTTGTCTGGCGAACATCCTCCAGTTATCGCGTACAACATCGGCCGTCTTGGCCGGACCTCGCAAGTGTTCAATTCTATTCTCACCTCTGTAACACACCCAGCAATCGAGAAGTCCTCCGACAACCAGCGAGACCCGCAGATCACGTCTCGTGATGCGGTCCAGGCTCTGTTTCAGAGTTACGTACTGGACCCGCTACAGTTCTTCATTCTCGGAGGCAATGTCGCATACAGTCTTTCCCCTGCAATGCATAATGCTGCTTTCCGCCACTGTGGCATGAGCCATACCTATACTATACCGGACTCGCCCTCGCTTGCAATCATGGACCGGTTGGGCAGGGATTCACATTTTGGGGGGTCAAGTGTGGTTCAGCCATGGAGAGTACAGCTGTCCCATAAGCTCGCGGCGAGGAGCCGCCATGTGGAGGCAATCGGTGCGATCAACACGATCGTACCACTACGCGCCGGTCCTGATGGATCCATGTATCCTTTACAAGAGCAGGCGAGTCGGCGTAACCAGGCCGGTCCTGTGCTAGGGTGGTACGGTGAGAATACGGACTGGGTTGGCATTATGAATTGCATAAACCGCAATCTCTCTCCACGCAATGCCATCAGCCCATCGAAGACTACTGGGCTGGTGATAGGAGCGGGCGGGATGGCTCGCGCCGCTGTCTATGCCATGCTGCGGCTCGGATGCCGTAAGATCTTTATCTACAACAGAACTTTATCACGAGCGGAAAGTGTCGCTCGCCATTTCAACTCCTGGGCAGCCTCACAAGTGGACTCGACGGAAGTTGTGTATGTGCTAAAGTCTTTGAAGGATGAATGGCCCGAGGACGCCTGTCCGCCTTGCATGATTGCATCTTGTGTGCCTGCGGACCGCGACCGGGATGAACCGCCAGCCAATTTTGAAATGCCTATGCAATGGCTGGGGAGCCCAACTGGCGGCGTAGTTCTTGAGGTAAGATCTCTATCAAAGTGCTCAGGTGGGCCTGACTGACGTTTCCTTGCTAGTTTGCTTACAAGCCACTGGACACGCCACTGCTGCGCCAGATGCGTCGTATTCGGACAGAAACCGGGCGCCCTTGGGTGTTGGTTGACGGACTTGACAATGTGGTCGAGCAAGCGATACCCCAATTTGAGCTCATGACGGGACGAAAGGCACCCCGTCGCTTGATGTTTTCAGAAGCCCTTCACAACTATGTTGGCGAAGACGGGCACTTCGATGACAAGACGATCCAAGCCAGGCTCGACCATGTCCGGTAAGAACACTGGTCTGGTGTGTTAAAGAGCATAGCTACCTTACCTCATCTACAGAGGTATATCAATGCTCCATTTAGTGGCTGCAAGTAATCATGACCCTGAGCCCAGTTCGGGTCACATTTTTAAGGTTTTCCTCGACGCAGCCGCTGCTATGTCTAAAGGACTTCCATACCGGGAATATAAAGGATATGTCTGGGGCATTCTACGTTAGAAGGAATTGAGAAGGGCACCTTTATGCAAGGCATGAGGTGGGTGCTGCAGTGCGAGGCTACGACTAGGCCAGGATGCAAAACCCCGCTCATCCGGCAAATTATTAGGGAGTTCGATGGGCTGATATCCCTGCATCTGGATGTGGGTTTTCACTGGTCACAGGAATAGCCCCCGATCACCAATGATCCACTACAGTGCCCGGTCCGACGGATGTTAATGGCGTGGCATCAGGCCTGAATTTAGCTGCTTATGCCATTGTTACTTCGGTAGTACATGCATGCATGGCCAGGCAGCCATAGGCCACGGCCCAGGATTGTACGGTCAAATGGGGAGCTCGATGTTGTCAGCGGCGGTTAAGGCCGGGTGTTTTCGGTGTTTGGCGAGCGGGATTCTTCTGCTGCATTTATACTGCGCCATCATAAATCAGCAGAGGAAGTTCCATATGCAATAGCACGTTCTAATTGACAAGATAGCGTTGCTCTTGAATAACAGAATCTAAGAGTCTTCCAGTCACATTCCATTAAATTGTGTAGCTCTGGTAGATGGGTTACAAATGACAAGGTCCTTTCACTGGTCCTTCTCAACCAGCTCTGCGCAACGGCGTCTCCTCGGTCAAAAGTACTTGGCCTCTGCAGTTGTTACAAGGCTTTCCTTCAGAACAAAGTTGGGGTCAAATGGTATCAAAGATAATAAATATAACTAATACTACTACCAGATAGAACCGCAAAATACATGTATCATAATAACAATACATATGACTACTACTACTACTACTACTACTACTACTACTACTCCTCCTCCTCCTCCTCCTCCTCCTCCCCATCCAGAATTGCATTACAGTAGCAGAACAACTATTGGTCCTAGTACATGCTTCACACGAATGGTCAGTCATTCTACCCACCAAGCCATGCAACTCGTGAAGCACCAACCTGAACCGTGTCAGACATTATTATTTGTAGCGTTTATGAAATTGAAGTCAATCGATCATCCATCCTACTAGCACTCCCTTACTATGCACAAGGACAAATAATTCAGCCCCTGCAAAATATATATATACCCCTATAACATCACCGCTTTACACAGTATAATTCACATTGAACACGTGTCCTACGTACTCGGATCGGCGTCGACATAACATAGCATTCCTCGGAGGTATTCGCAGTGGCTGAGATATTTGCATTGACGCTTGGAATGTTAATCTACAGACGCCCGGGCGGAAACAAGCATACAGGAGGCGCCGAGGGTGGAGGTTAAACGGACGTGAGGAATGACGGACAGAATGGAATATAGATATTGGGACGGGCTGAGTTGAGCTTTACCTTTTATCTTTTTATGAACTTCTTCTTTCTCTCATCAATAGATTTCGCTCTTGTCCTTGGGTTCAGTTACTGTTGCATTGATTGCAATTGCTGGGCTACTACTGTATGAAACAAGTGGTGCCTCTGTCTTTTGAATACGGATAAGAACAAACGGCATCATGCATAACTGCTACATCGCAGCGCTACTTCTTCTCAGCAGCAGTAGCAATGCCCTCGCAGAGCAGCGCACAACAGACGAGTTCACCTTCAGCTGCGATCCATTGACGACGCAACTGTCCGATCCGATAGTCGCGCCAGGGAAGCCATCTACGCACACACATGCCGTTACCGGGGGCACAGCATTCCAGAGAACAATGAATGAGAGCACGGCGCAGAACGCAAAGGGGACGACGTGCGAAGTGGATATTGATAGGAGCAATTACTGGGTTCCACAGCTTTATCATCGCATGAGAAATGGATCGTTTGAGCTCGTGGAATACCAGTCCAGTGTAGGTATTGCTTCGGACTTCGCTGGCAGTCCTGAAAGCTTGGTTGAAGACCGCGACGAACTGGCTAATAAATTAGATAGAGTATTTATTACTTTGATCGAGCGTGTAATTATACGGCTAGTGCTACGGATTGTGATGAGAAGCTGGTTCCATTGGCGCCGCCGAAAGGTCTGCGCATGCTTGCTGGGGATCCGAGTCTTCGGTTCGTTTGCCTGTTTTATATTTCGATGGGTGAGGGTGCTGATATCAGATGGGAACAGGACCTATAATGATTCGAACTGGTCCCAGCGTGCGGTCAGTCATATGTGCATTGGCAAAGATGGAAGCTCAAATGAAACGAAGGGCTTGCCTCAGCAGCCTTGTGAAATCTTGAGGTCGCAGGTCTTCATGCCTTCCTGTTGGGATGGAGAGAATCTGGACAGCTCAGATCATAAGAGTCATGTAGGCGTCGTTGTCTACGGGCATTTGTGGGGGTGCTGACAGTGTTTGTAGATGGCGTATCCCGACACTGGAGACTATAACAAGGGTGTTTGCCCCAAGTCTCATCCCGTTGCGATATATTCCATCTTTCTGGAATTCTTTTTCAACACAGCGCCCCATCCAGACTACAAGAACTGGATATACGCGACAGGTGATAAAACCGGATACGGCTTGCACGGAGATTTCATGTACGGTTGGACAGACCAGGTCGCCTTGCAGCAGGCTATAGACACCTGTACCGGTCCACAAGGATTGACCGACCCAGACTGCTCGATAACGAGAAACCAAACAAGAGACTTGGCTCCAATGCCGCAGCCATTGGATGTACCTGCACCAGATGACAATATTGGTCAACATGGCCCCGTTGATAGATTGCCCGGTCATCGTAACTGGGTAACTGAGCATGACAATTCAACCTTGCATGGATGAGTTGGGCCTGCATAAATCGACACCGAGTTCGTGTATATAGCTTCGATGAGATGACGTAGTATCGATATTGAACTGCACACATTCTCGCGACTGTAAACAGTCGGTAATTGGATGATCTGGCACGCGAGGAGAATAGCTGCCTTATGACGAGTTGCAGACTGACACATGAGGCCTCCAATCTTGGTGACTAGTAAGCTGGTTCCAGAACCGCGAGTCCAGACCTTAGATCCCGCAGAATGCCGGGCTGAACTGTAGCCAAGGGCAGAGGTAGCCATAAGGATGAGAGCCCAATCCATGAGTTGAGCATGCGCTTGCAGCGATCGCAACATCAGCCAACGTATCCCATCCCCTTCCTCCACCATTTCCAGACACCGCGTTGTTCCATTAAACTTCCAAACTCCTTGACGGTTTCTACCTCCGACACACCGGCTCTTATATCCCTCATTTTCGTCTGGGGTAATTGCTGCTGATCTCGAAGCTCTGTTTGATTCTCGTCGTGGAGAAGCCCTGGCCGCGTAGCTAGTTGAAAATCCTTGTACCGTAGTTTCCGAACGACAGTCACCCAAGACTCAACAGCGCCTTGGTCTTTCGCCTCGACATACATTATCCCAGGACATCCACCGGAGCGCAGAAGCACGAAGCAATTGTGTATGTCGGCTGCGCGTTTCAGCGCAGACACCTTTTTGCGGGATGTGATGTGGTGGGTTCGGATGAGGGCGTTGTAGAACATCGTTCTTTAATTCGTGTAATCCGGGTTAAGCCATTGATTTATGGTTGAGTATATGACATCTCCACGAAGGACAGGTAACGGGGAATTTGTAGTGGTAGAGCTGGATGCCGACCGCAAGTGTGGTGGTAGCAGTGTTTCCTCGGAAGGTGATTGGTAAAGGGGAAATACTCGGGTCTAACCGCCCGTGTCTGGGATTAGACGTGCTATGGGCGGCAGTTGTGTGACCTGAGCTGCTTCACTGCCCTGCTGATTCTTTGAAATGTAAGTATTGTGGTGGCAGACAGAAGGTTGAAAGGACGTGGAGGATGAAGGGCAGCCACAACTTGGGATCTCGGCTTCTGCCAGTGCGGACGCCCAATCAGATGACCGCGGCTGAGCGAACCTTGGTTGATTCTTGTTTCCAAAAAGAATTCTGGGACAAACTTAACATGATATTCAATGGTGTATAGGCACGCTTGAATCTCGTTCTACACAGGTTATCTCATGTGCTGCTGAGTCACAGCAAAATTGAGGCTGCCCCTTGAACAGCTTCATCACCTGTCAATATCGCACTAGTGCCGCGTGAACTATTGCATAACGTAAATTCTAGGACATCTGAGCAAGGCAGCTACCGCTATTGTAGTATCCCTACTACCCCAGTATCAAGCCTTTGCCTTTGATCTTTATGCGATAAATAGATACCCTTTATGTGCCGTTGCTCCAGCCATAGCTAAATTTGGACAGACATTCAGTTTGGGGAATACCGGTACGACTCTCGTGTTCTATTACTAAACTTCTGCCTTTTCATCTGCCTACTTCTCCCACTACCATAGTAGTTTCACGAATCTGTGATGAGATATACGACCTGCTGCGCCGGAGAATTTCACCTGGAGGTGACTTCCTACCTGGAGGCGTTTATCTGCCTTCATCTCTCTTCCCACCAGAATCTTCCGCCCCTGGTCAAAACATAACCCACACGATTTGACATCCCCATCTCCTGCCTCACCCGGCATCCTGAGACTTCCTCCTTTTCCTCAAAAACTATTAAAGCCGCGACGTATCGAACTCAGGCTGGTGTTAACCCCATGAAAGCCATTCGGTGCTGGGCAAAAAGACGTAATTTTGCCATATCCAAGGGAAGAACTGCATTTGGATTTTGACCAGCCTCCATATGAGAACCAAAAACATCCTTCTTTGTCAGCTGGACCTCCTCGGCTCCGAGGTCGGGACTAGGAACAGGTGCTGGGAAGATGGGCTAGATAATGTCTGTTAGCTTGGGTGTCTAACCTCAGAAGGAGCGTTCAGTACCGTGATTGATAGGTCGAGCCCACCCGTCGGACTTCGTTTCCACATTTCAAGAGACCCTTTCACCCTATTTCGAACAAGTTTTGTCCACTTCAACAACATTACCACGTTCACGTTGGTTGTTCCAAGCATCCAAAGATCTCTATCTGCGTATAATCGGGGCCAGGATTCACTCCACCCGCTCTCTATGACGACCGAAGGACATCTATCTGAATCTGGCCGTAGGAATAAGTCGGGCTCCTTCTGAGAATGGAGGTATGTCCCAGTAAAACTGCTGAACCCTATCACTATACATCAGTATGCCACTATCAATCAGAGTCAAGGACTTACTCGTCCCCACGCCGAAGTCCAAAAGATCCATCTCATCTGGGGTCATCAAACTACCACGCGTCCAGTTCTGAGCGGCATTGAAAACCCATCTATGGTGGACGTCGTGTAATTCTGTAGGCATTACGCGTACCCACAGCGTCCCCGTGCGAGAGTTGAAGTTCACTCTATCTTATGATCAGGACATTATAGTGTATACTCAGTGGGTTATCTTACCTTGCACAACTCGACTCGACCACGCTGGACTCAAGAAGGGAGTCGCAGACCAAAGCGCCTTTCTCAGGCTCGATACCTTCATAGACAATCTCGGTGAAGTCGTGGATCTTAGGTATCTTTCGGACTATTTCGTTAAAGATCTTCTGGGCAGTCATGGGTTGAGCTTCTAGATGAGTGGTGCTTCGAAGCTCTCGAGTGGGGGCTTGCAAGGCGGCTCCAGAACCGAGGACTCTGTTGTTACCAAAAGACATTTTGGTGACCTTGGAAGAGGAAACTGCGATACTGTATTGCGTTAATGGAAAGTATGTTGTATAAGCCAGCAGTGTCCAGTGGTTATAGAGGAAGTGAAGCGAGAAGGGACTTTGGGTGCGGAGCAAGGATAAAAGTCAAGCGAGATCAGATTCTTAAGAGATACTTGAGGTACTCAAGGAAGCTGCAAAGCGTTCAGTGCGTTCAGGGAAGGAATGGTCTGTAATCAACACCACGTTTTCAGCCGAGAAAGATGAAAGGGTGGAAGGTGAGCAAAGAGCAGAGGAGATGAAGATTGGAATCAATAAAAACACCGCGAACTTATCGAGCGGGACTCAATATGTTTTCCTGGAACATATAAATTCAGAGATTGAAGGGTGGGAAATAGATGATTTATATGTGGGATTTGATTGAAAGAGTTGAGATTGATGACAGATGGATGAGCATGTATATGACGCTAGTTTGTTCCTGAGGCATCAACTTACATGTTGAATCAGTCATTAACACAACGGAGGCAGAATCCCTATGATTCACTTCTTACCCTTTGATGAATCAATTACTAGCATCTCTGTAATTTGTGAAACTTTCCTTGTCAAGATCTCTATTAGTGTGAAGCCCTTTGATTTACCAGCCAGGGGCCTTGGCAATCCGCAAAAGATGAAAACATAGTGTGCCCAAATAAGTAGTGGCAACACATGCATGTCGTTTCCATGCCGCATACATGAAGCGAATATTCACGATGGCTGCACCACAAACAGGAGACGTAACTCATTCGTCATCCGGGCATCCCATTGCGATGTGGAAGCAGGCATTCTCAATTAAGCAACGAGTCATACGGTGACAGGACGGTAGTATACCAACAGTACATGTAACCTATATGCATGCTTCTCGGCTCAAACGATCAAATATAATATCGGTTTTGAAGCCTCATCAGAACAACCTTCAAGAAAGTTCGGCTCCATTTTGCAGATCTTCAACCCACCCCTGGCAGCCAATATGAGAGCCAACATGGCTCATTTACGGCCTTCACAAGACTTAGAGTCCTTAGCTTAGAGCGACGTGGGATACAAGATGCCGCAAGCCCTCCAGACTATTTAGAATGCTTGGTTCTAAGGAATTTTGACCGTCCGGTGTATGGGTTTCTGGCTAGCCTGTTATCGAAGAGCAAAAACGGCCGGCTACCTCTGAAATCTCTTTAGATACACGAATTGTCGTCTGTATACGCAAAGTACAATAATCTGATCCTTGGGATCGGGCCTCTTCTTGAGGTGGCTAGGACTAAGGAGGACAGATCGGCAATGATGAAGGCATGTCAACGCTTGGAAGATCTCATCAAGGCGGCGGACTTTTCAGTCAAGATTCTCGACTGTGAGGTCTGAGATATATACGTCACTAAGCTGGAGGTGTTCTTGGACTCTGGGATCAGGTTTGGGAAGGAATATAGGTTGAATATACCTAAGATGCAGGAGTCGATCTATTTTATTTCAGTGATACGTAGCCTTATTCGTTGAAGCAATTTTCTACATCGTTTCCTTCCGCAAAGGTTGCGCCAGAACCTGTCCATGCAGGTTTGGCTTCTAGGATGTTTTACTTGTCTCATTGCCGAGTGAGAGGATATCATGAGTTAGTGTATCTGTATAGTAACCATAGAATCAAGCTAAACTATGTACATATTTAATCTTACTTTGGTGACCTGTAGTCTGGCAGTTACTAACCATGATGGCCGACCCGAACATATCTCTATATAATGCCCATTATTACTGAATCACTATTCCCAGCTGCACACACCCTAGTAGGGCATCCAAATCCTAGCTAACAACAGAAGCACTATAAAGACGCAAATGTATAAGATGGTATCACATCGCTATGCCAAAACAAACCAACCAAGAACCATTTATCAACCCCAATCATCATCTCACTCGGCCAACCCCTAGGAAAGCACAATCTATATATACCAACCATCACCAATATCGAACCAAACCTAAACCCCAAGAACCGCACCCCAAAAACTAACCGGCATCGGAATTGATTCAATCGCCTCCGGGAGCTTACTATAATTCAAAAACCACGGACTAGTATAATAGCCCCACGCTGCCACGAATGCCGCATTCACGAGCCAAATAACAACCCGAGAGATAGTACTCTTCGCGGGAAGGACACGCGGCAAGATCTGATCGGAGATGATCTGCTGCACGACCACACAGGCTGGCAGGACGCAGAAGAAGAACATCATCATGAACGCGGCGTACCAATCCTTTGAGACGGCGTAGGTCCCCGCTGCGTGGACAACGCCAGATACCATGAAGGAGAGGCAGACGATGAGGAGGCGTTTGAGGCCTAAGGGGCATGATTCTGGTACAAGGGAGAGGGAAAGGGCCAGGAATGGCCGACGGCAGAGGTCGTGCCACATTTTGCCCCAGATGTCTGGATTGTTCTTTTATTAGTCTTGTTGTGCTTGGACGAGTAAGAAAAGGGGGGCGGGTAGGTGACTTGCCTCGTAGGCTAAAGGTGAACATGTATCGGATTGCCCCGAAGACAGGAGGATACATCCACGGTTCCGCTGCGAGCTGCGGAGAGATGATCCGCAGCACACCGACGGAAAATACGCCGGTAGCGGCGTGGATTCCGTCTACGAAGGCGTATGAGGCCATCCAGTGTACTGGTGGGAGGACGAACAACCGGATCACGCCCTCAGTTTTGGCCGGGGATGCTTGGATGCCCAACACATTTGTCAGGAATATCTCTACGAAGTTGCTGACGCTGGAGTAGTTCCGCCCAATCGCTGTCTGGTACGAGTCGATGATGAAATAGGCTACGAGAGCTCGACAGAGCTTGCCTATCAGGAACGTGAAGCGGTCATCATCCGCTACCAGGACGATGTCCTCGCGTTTAGGAACGCAGCCATTTGCGCCATCCGGGGCTGAGGCAGCCTCGAGCTTCCGGACGAGAGGCTGGTACTTGGGAGAGCCGTAGCTCCAACCCACGGCGCGTGGATTGATGATCAGATCGCAGACCTGGACAAAGCGCTTCCAACCTAGCGTGGGAGATATGGGCTCCCATGTATATACGGGTGAAGAGGATAGGTAAGACACTCTTTGTAGGCGCTTTAAGTGACTCAGATCTTGGACCAGGAGAAGTTCCACAGCGCGGATGACAAAGGAAGTAGACAGAAATGCGTTGGTATATCTGATAAAGTCCCTCGTATCCGGCGGGTAGAAAATGGCGCTGCAGGCGCTGAGGACAATGATGCCATAGAGGGTGTCTCTCAGACCTGGAAGCAAGGGGAACTTGACATGTAAAAATAAAGCCGCAATCAAGACGGGCAAAGTGTACATGTTGCGGAGGAGGTGAGTTTCAGGACGGAAACTCCAGGAAATAACACCCGCATGCAGAGAAGACAAGGGAAAGAAAGCAACGCGATCTAAGTTGAGGCGAGGAAGTGTTGAGGGTATTCAAATGACTGTTGGAGTGGCGGCGATTGGGTGTCTTTTGGCGCGGCTGATCATCCGCGCGGGCCCGCATTAATCAGCGGTATCGGAATCTGATATCTACTCCGGCTTCCCACTTCGGGCGATCGGACAACTTGTTGGATTGTGTGCCAGATCATCGTGATGGGCAGAGTGATGATTTTGCCTCGGAAAAAGTGGGACGCTTATATTGTTGCGTATGGAGCAGCTATAACCTCTCTCCGATGAGGTCGGATTTGAAATCCGCGTGTTCCCGACAGGACAACTGGTGAGAAACTCCGCGGAGTAGCCTAAATACCAGGGCTGGCTGTTCTGGTTGTCTTTTAAATGCTCATTCCTAGAAACACAGAGGCTGGCATAATTATCGTCGCTCTTTTGGATACTCTGTCAAAATGCTTTGTTGCTTAATCGAGAGTTCACCACAATGGGATGCCTGATGACGCATGCACTAAGCCTCCAAGAATTGACTTACAATACTCACAGTACAGAGCTTAGTTGGGTACTTGATGCGGTATAATTGTCATATCAATCGCAGTGGACTAGAACCGAAGCTATGTTTGTGTTGCTGTCAATGCTTTACCTATAAATGAATGGCAATATGGATAGAGAACCCACTTCGTAATACTTGAGATCATGGATATATTGCAGTTGATTCCTTCAACATCAGTTCCTACCAGTGCTCCTCTTCCATACCTTCTCATATAGTAGACTATACGAGCACTTAATTTGCATCAAGTCATTCATCAAATGATACCAGAGGTGAATAAACTAGCATTCTGCCTACATCAGGTTAATGAGTAGGCGATCATGAATTCAATGCGTCAGGTACTGAGTCGGCGCTATAAAATCACCCCTTCCTCTCTTCGTATCTTTCTCCCTCTCTCATTTCTCCGGATTAGGGACTAGCGAGTCTTCATCGCCGATGGCTGTAATGGTTTCGGCAAGTGACATTATTACTATCTCTTGAGTTGACCGATTGTGACTGTGGATACTGGCGTGGAAATAAGCACTTTGTCTTTCTATTGGAATGTAGCACACCAATGTTTAACCGCATCTTCAAATGATTTTACTGGATATATGCTACTTCTTCAAGGTGAACAGACATATTTGGATCAAGGTAAAACAACCTACCCATAGCTGTCGTCGAAAGTGGATGGAGTGAATCTTGGCCCCGCTTACATGCCGATATGACGGCCCGACGTAGCCTCGAATGAGAATTAGATATCGAACCTAAAGATACAGGAGAAGATAAAGAACCCTCGGCATTGATGCACCGTGGGACTGATACTATTTCAACCCTAACATTTACAGTCATACAACCTGGACAAGGGGTCCACACGACATTGCAGTAGAGAAGTCAAACAAAAGCCAAAGAGATACTCGATACAAGGTGACTACTGTCTAAAGCGCACAGGGATGTCCCAGTGGTTCATCAAATCGCGTGTGGAACTCTCGCCCTTGAATCTTAGAATGGGTCGACTGCACACTTGAGGCCGACGACAAAAGGAAATCCCAACTAAGCAGCCCCGCGAATCCCACCTGGGTAAAAAAGATTGACTCTATAGGTAGTTTCATGCACATTCAGGCCACGATCAATGTAATATCCACGCCGTCCGCCTCGCCACCTGCTTCTCTGGAATGGTTCGCACCACCAAAGAGAATAGTGGAATGGACTTCTCAATACCTAAAAGGCTAGCTAATTGATTACCAGCACCCATTGGTTCACAAGGGATTTACACACGGAACACCGCTCGTTGCCAACGCGGCCGAAAAACAAGGCCCCAGAAAATATAGAACTAAGATACTTCTGGCCTAACTTCAATGGTGATTAAGACATTTACTCTGGTACGCTAATATGCAATGACAAGTTATAGAATTCTATTGTGGATGGAGCAAACTGCAGTCCTGTTTACATGCCGATAGAGACTTGCGGATCGATGAAACAAGCCAATTCAATGTGGTGATATAGCTGAAGTGGTCAGAATTTGTCGGTAATAGAGTGAAAGGGGACGTGCAAATGTGGACAAGGTGTCCCACAGGAGGGCTCAGACCATCACGGTAAGAAACATGGTATTTACGTAGAAACCGGGTCCTCAATCTAACATCTAAAGGCTAGTCTAGCCCCGCTCCTGGAACGGAGGGGATTCTTTCACGTCCACGGGAAACTGCACAAGATCCCAACGCTGTTATTCCGTATTCAACTAAATATGGCGTACCTACATGACTTTGCTGAGGAGTGGATGACTTTAAAGTCTAATGCATCGTTAACCTAGAAGTCTTTTTGTCACAGCACCAAGACGATATTAGTGTGGGAAATTCGGAGAGTATTCTTTCAAATACTAGATAAGAGTTTTGACTATGCTCGGTGTTTGCTAGGCCCGAAGGCCGATATGCAACAGACTGTTTTAGCTTAGCAGCGCATTGTTCACGGTATCTATCGACGCTTATATGGTCATGAGGACAAGTTTGGGTGCCTACGATGATGATGAGACCATGCAAGCCAATAGCTTAAATCTAATAATTTTTCTTATTATAAACTTAACTGAATTACTTATTTATCTGTAAGAAAAGAAGCCACGACCAGCCTAGGTAGTATTGCCTCACATGGCAGGACAGTCGTATCGAGTAAGATACAAGACAAGCACTGGATGGGCTTCTCCACCTGTGCAATGTTCAGCCCTATGGGAAATGCAGGCCTGGGGCTAGACTAGATTCAGCTAGAGCCGACATCTGATGTTGTCACGCTTGCCGTCCCCTCCACTTCATTTCCAGAAGAGACGGAGTTTCTTCCAAAAATTACATTATTTTCCGTATGGATATAATTAGAACCAGACTTGGATCAGTTTATATTTAAAGGCACTGCATGGAATGGGTACTCAACAGGTAAATTTTCCCCTTGTTTCATTGTCTTTTCTTGCTGTGGACCACTGACAAACATGCTTATGTGAGCGAAGCTAACCATAAACCGTAACTCCGAGATCTCGGACATCCACATCGAGCAAGTCCGATGGGTAATCCCGGATGACTCCTGAAGAGGCAGAACTAAACCCATCGACTAATGAGATACTACGAAGAATCCAAAGTACGCCCCAGGCTGCCACTAACCACTCAAGCCCATCAAGTGCCACACACTCTGAATGACCACGTCTTACTCCTGAGCCAAATTAGGCAGCGAAGCCCGTGGGGCTCGGCCGTAAGCTTACAGATCAGATAAGACTTTGATGTCGCCGGTCGCTGCTGTCGACCTCCGCTTCATCTCTAACATCAACTTCACGACGATCCACCGCCGATAGAACTGCATCAGGTGACTTGGCACGGTCGGATCCATCTCACCACCATCAGTCACATCATCGCCCCGAGCTAGAATCCTGCTCTTTTTCTCCAAGCAATGGAAGAAGACCACTCTCCAAAGTCTCCGCCGCGACGGCGCAGACCACCCCTATCTTGCACCATTTGCAGGCGTCGCAAGCTAAAATGCGATCGCTCCCTGCCATGCGGACAATGCGTCAAGTCCAAAACGCCAGATCAATGCATCTACGTTGGCCCTCAGGCGCCGGTGTCGGGAAGTGCTTCCCGCACCCCGCCAGAACGCGTGCGTGTCTCCAGCAGTCGAGCCAGCCCGGCGCACGGTGGCCTCTATGTCTTTGATTCCAAGCACCAGTCCGCAAACAGGGTGACCAAGCCGAAAGCGCGATCGGACGAGTTGCACGAGCTGCGTAATCGCATCCAGTTCCTGGAAAGCGCGCTCTCCAAAACTGGGTCTATGCACACCCCAGAAAGTTTGGGTGGTGACTCGGTAGACATCGGGCATCGTTTGGGTCCGGAGTCGCAAAATCTCATTGACAATGTGAAAGATCTCCCCGATCGGTGTTGTTTTCGGGGGAAGAAAATCCGCACGCGATTCGTTGGACGGAGTCATTCGTCTGTCTCTATCTCTTTTGTAAGTGTGCGTTATGCCATGGCTAATTCGTAAATGGTGCTAATATCCGCAGTTTGAAGATGTTGGCAAGTTCATGCGGGGCCGCCGCAGTACGCTGAAGAGAATCCCCAATTACAAGAAGTTCAAGGACTTCAAGGGGGAGATATGGGCTCGAGAGCGACAGGAGCACCAGCGCGCCTATCAACAAAAGTCTCCCTCGCTGGAGGAGATGGTTCCGCCTCGACAAGTTGCTGATGAACTACTCAAATTGTATCTGACCACGTTTGAGACGACACATCGTATCTTGCATATCCCGACATTCCTGGAGCAGTACGAAAACTTCTGGGCGGGAGCACAGCCTAAGGAACCGTCTTTTGTGGCAAAGCTGCTGGCATTGATGGCAGCCAGTTGCTGTTTTTTGAACCCGAACACTAAGATTAATGGGGAGAGCAGAGTGTATCAGACAGCCGCTGAATGGATTGCCGGTGTTCGGTCGTGGATTGCGCTCACGCTGGTCAGCTCAACCATCGATTTCAACATTTTGCAAATTGAATGTCTTTTGATGATTGCACGGCAGGCTGATGCGATTGACGGGGACATTGTGTGGATCTCCTCTGGCTCGCTCATACGGACTGCCATGACCATGGGGCTGCATCGGGATCCTCATCGATTTGGCAAGATGACCAAATTCTGGGCCGAGATGCGCCGGCGGCTATGGGCAACCATTTTGGAGCTCGACTTACAGTCGTCCTTGGATGGCGGAATGCCACCCACGATCGACCTGGACGAATACGATTGCGAGCCGCCCTCTAACTTGGACGATTCCCAGCTGACGGAAAATATGGTCGATGATCCCGTCCCGAAAGATATAGGGGTATACACACAAAGCACTTTTCAGGTTTTGCTCCTGCAGTCGCTACCCCTGCGACTCCGCATCGCCAAGGCCATTAACAGTCTGAAACTTACGATATCATATGACGAAGCCTTGCGGCTGAGCGAAGAGCTGATCCAATTCATGCACTTTGGCTTGGAAATCTTCCAGAAGGCCGGACCGACCCCTTCGGGAACCGCCCCGTCATTCGCGCAGTCAATGTTGGTGTTTTTGTTGCGGCGATCGATTCTCGTTCTGAATCGGCCTTTTGCGCTGAGTATTATCCGGTCGCCGAAATTCTCTTATTCGCGAAAGATCTGTCTCGAGTCCGCACTGGAGATCCTCTCTCACCACGAGCCCCCGGCGAGCTCGCAGGTATGCCCGCATCTGGGGCAACTGAGCGGGGGAATGTTCCGCGATGAGTTTTTGCACGCTGCTCTGACGGTATGTGTTGAACTGTACCTGCAGGCGGGCGAGTTCAACACGCAGAACACATCGACAATACAGTCCAGCGCACTCACATCATTGAATGATCTGGTACGGTCGCAGCAGGAGGTGATGATCGGAGCAGTCGAGCGGACAGTTGAAACATTCGGCAGCCGGATCACACCAAACGGCAAGGGAGGGAAGGCCTTCTTTCTGCCGACGCTCGTTTTGTCATCGGTGAGGGCGAGACTGCGAGGAGAAGATCCGCAGAAGGCGATAGAGCGGGACGCGATGCAATGTATGCAGATGTGCGAGCAGATGTTGCAGGGAGCAAGTTGGGAGACGGTCCGAGCCAAGGCCACATCGACAGTACGTATGAATTCCGATTTGTTTTTGATATATGCTAACAGAAGTAGCCGATTTCTACACCATCGTTGAGTCTGGCAACGCCAGAAATGCAATTCGACCCTGCATCCTATGGGCTGGATACAGTGAGTTCTGATAAGCCATCTGGTAGAGACGAATGCTAACGGATGCAGTCTGAATTCGGGACACTATTCGACCTCAACGACTTTGCGATCCCAGATATGTGGGACCAGGACTTTTTGGCGCTGTTGTAGACAAGGGTTGGTAGTACCGAGGCGTTGGAATGGCGAATTATTGCGATCAAGAATAAAAGATTCATGTGAAGCCGACAGGCTATGATGTACGATATGACTGCCGATCATTACATAGATTTAGTATATAATCTTCTCCCATCTCCACAGCAAGAGCATCTCCTAACCAAGCACCTCACTCATGTCGTAAGTTACTCCTTCACTTCACACTACAGTACATCCTACTAAGAGAATCAGATCCCTTCTCACAATTCTCGGCCTCTCAGCCCCAGCAGGCCACGGCCTCCCCAACCGCGCCATCCCCTACCTCCTCTTCAACTGGTTCTACGCCTACGGCATCCTCAGCACGCGGCCCGCGAAACGTCTCCTCCGTATCGACCACAACGTCGCTCCCCGAGAAGACCTCCAAGTCTATGGCGAGGCAGCAGTGCAAGCAGGGAAGATCACCCGCAGACAACTGAATCGACTCAAGCGACAGGAGGCAGCGCATGCGAATGCCGTCGAGGGATTCCCGCTGTTCGTGGCGGCTGGTGCGTGACCAACATTTCACCCAAAGCCAATGCCTCTTTTCTTATGAGTAAAATGCTAATTGATTTCATGGGTGATATAGTGGTAGTAGCCTTACACACAGGCCTCCCTAACGACGTGATCAATGGTATCGGGGCATGGTACACGATATCTAGGATCTTGTTCGGGCTTGCGTATGTGTTTATTGAGTCGGAGACGTTGAGTTTTTCGCGGTCGGTGCTGTGGTGGTCTGGAAATATTAGTTGTATTACTGCTTTGGTGTTGGGGGGGAGGAAGTTGTAATTCGTTTTGTGTCTTGATTATGAGATTTTTGATTTTGGGATTCATTTGTTGGGTGTATGGGAGGGACAATGTGGGGATAAGTCGGAGATTGGGATCGCCTGTTGGGAACGATCTGCGGGGTTTAGTGGGGAGATAAACAGATGGGCCGAGGAAGAGACTTGTTTTTTGGGGGAGGCTGATTTATGGGTTTATCTACAACTTAGAGAGTATTTGTATGGCAGGCAAACAGCGTATGCATAAGGCTAGAATTTGAGTTATGTTTGATTATTAACATTGTTTAACGTAAGCGGCAAGCGAGTCGGCCACGTAAGCGAGTCGGCCACCTCCCGCTAGCAGATCATCATTCTGATTTATATACAAAAATGAAGCTTTTTGAACATCTAATTCAACGCTTTAAAGAGCTCTATCTCAAGATACTGCTCGATTAGGACATCTAGTACGTATATGTCCTACAATATGACACGCGCTACACCTAGGAGGCGCCCGACGGCGTGGTTGATTCTCTCTAGGACCTGTATCCCCAGCTTGTTCTTCCAACACTCTAGCGTGGTTGAAAGCCTCAAGCGCTTCTTGTACAGTGAAGCCATTCAAACCATCCATTTGATGTTGATTGCGTTTCTGCTTGGTGGTTCGTTTTTCAAGAGCTTCACGTAGTTGGCGATTTTCATGCTCAAGTAGTATTGTATGATTCAAAGCAATCTCCGCGCCTTTAAAGATGTGCGATAAGGCTGACTGTATTGGTGTAGCTGGTGTATCTTGTTGTTGAAGTAATTGAGATAGTGTAGACTCGTACTTCTTGAATTGCCTTGAATTTCTTGGTGTTTTTGTAAAGATCGAAGAAGAGAAGGTACTTTGACTGCTCGGACGGCTGGTTTCTTTGAAGATCATATTCTCCAGTATCTTGTTTGGATCTAGAGGAACAAGACCTGAAGCTCTAAAAGCGCTTTGTATATTTGCTTTAGTAAACGCTTGAGCATGGGCTTTCGGATACATATCAAGAAAATCAACCTTCTCGATATGATGATATCCCGTACGGATAAGCTGTTGAACTTGATCTTGATAAGCCTTCTTTAAAGGCGAAAAGCATGCAACATCTGAAGGCTGACATAGATGTGAGGAATTAGCAGGCATACAGACAGGTATAATCTGATTTTGATAACATATGTCATCAAATTGAGGTGTTAGATGCGAATCATACCCGTCAAGTACGAGGAGGCTATATTGGCCTGTTCTTCATGTTTTGATATAAGGAATAAAGTGATCTTTAAGCCATGCTTGACCAATCTCTCATGTTGTCCATCCATTTGGTGATATAGCAATTCTCCAGGAAGATGGTAGACTTCCTTCGTACCAAGCTTGAATATGTGTTTTTGCTTTCAACACTAAATATGCTGGCAGCGCCCATCCAGCAGCGTTGATACATTCAATTGAAGTTATCCATTCGCGATTCCCTGGCTGTATAAGAAAGGGTCTTCCTTGACATGTTGAGCGTGTAACAACTTTAGTAGTGCCTAGAACATCCATAGCAAAGCCAGTTTCATCAAAATTATAGATATCTTCATCAACAATGCCGTATGTTGATATAGCGGTTTGTACGCGTCTGAACTACATCTGAATAGCTTCAGGTTCTTCACATTTTGCTCGTTTGTAGTTTATTTGACGGCTATATCGACTTTTCAAGGAATCATGCCTTGAAACGTAGTTGGTGACCCATTTTTGTCTGACAGAAATAGTTGTATTTTGACCGCGCTTTTGAAGTAGTAGATTTGCCATTTCACGGACTTGAGAGTGGTTTGGTGGTGCACCACGTTGATCTAATGATATAATCCATTTTTCAAGCGATTCTTCCTCTATAGAGGTCAATTTATGTGAGTTGGCTCTAATATACTTGCGAAATTTGAGTCCATTCAAGCGATCTTGAAGTGTTGATCGAGGAACTTGAAAAATACGTGCAGCTTCACGAACAGACTTTGTATGATCTTTCTGAATAGCTTCAACTGCTAAGCAGAGTCTGCCCTCTTGTTCCACCCACTCTTTTGATGATTTAGGCATTTTTGGTGGTGTAATGGCTGTTTGGATAGCATCGCTTTCGGAGGCGCGGACGAGTTTCGATGGGTGGCCGACTCGCTTACGTGGCCGACTCGCTTGCCGCTTACGTTAAATAGTTATTTATCTCATTAAGGTTTATTGTGCCTAGATCTGAGTGTGGGTAATGGTATAGAAATGCTTGTCATCTGTCGAGTGCTTTGACAGGCAGAGATACTACAGAGAGATTGATGAGATAAAAATTAATAGTGAGGATGCAAGCAGCAATTATTCCCGCAATAACATAATACGTTTCGCCCTCAGTATACAGTCGAGTCATGCTATGCTGCAGTATAGCATGCCCTCTACGCATCGTACCCACATCACGGAGGATATCATCCCACCAGCAAACCCACACAACAACACTCCCACCTTATTCTACGTATATACGATAGCCAGCTACCATCCCCACAATGAGCTAGCCACTCCACAACGTTCAACCCATCACCCCATTACTCACCGTATCTACATCCCGTGAGTCACCCTCGATTGGTGGGAAATCCATCACCAGCCTCACTGACAATCCGGGGAAATTGCGCCAGCTCAGGCCGACCCCGTGCACCAGCCAAGATCACGATGACAGGTGGGAAATTGTTCTCCCTGTTTCCCCGTGGGGTTACCCCAATCCCTTCCCCAGATTATCGGGACTGCTATGATGTTATCGATCGTTAGTATCTGGGGTACAGCTACACCAGCTAGGAGTCCATATATAATGGATGAACATTGTCTGTTGAATTTGAGTCAGAGCAAACGAGAAGAAAACGGCGGAGAAGAATAAATCTGCAAAATGTACCTCCTTCCCTTGACGCTCTTCCTCACCGCTGCTTTCGGCGTCTCAATCCCCAGATCTCCCCTCATCCCCGGCGCACAAATCATCCCCGCATCCAGCACAGCAGATCTACGAGCCATTGGTGCTCAACATCACAAGTATCCAGACCGAGAGACAGTTACTATTCGGGCCTCGAGGAACGCCCTCGACGATGTGTCCAGTGACTTCCTCTGGGGCTTGAAGCAGGCGAACCATGGCGGTCGGTTGTTGTTGAAGCAGGGGGAGACCTACGTGATTGGGAAGAAGTTAGATTTGACATTCTTGGATAACATTGAGGTGCAGCTTGAGGGAGAAATTCAGGTACTTTCCTTGCCCTTCTTCAATAAGGAGTATTGAAAATATGATACTGATTTCGGTGGTCCTGCTTAGTTCACAAACAACATCACCTACTGGCAAGCCAACAACTTCTACTACGACTTCCAGAAATCCATCACCTTCTGGCGCTGGGGTGGCCAGGACATCAAGATCTTCGGGAGTGGTGTGTTGAACGGCAATGGACAGAAATGGTATGATGAGTTTGCGGGGAAGCAGATCTTGGTATGTCACACCATGATACCATCCGTACCTCCCTGAAAGAACAGACAATGCTGATGACAGCAACGATGACAGGACTCAGATAACACGTTCTACCGTCCCATTCTCTTCCTCACCGATAATGCAACCCGTATCTCCGTCGAGGGCATCACGCAGCTGAACTCGCCGTGCTGGACGAACTTTTTCGTTCGGACCAACGATGTCTCGTTTGATAATGTGTATATCCATGCGTTCTCGACCAATGCTTCAGTCAGTCCTCTTTTCCTCTGGCTTTTAAATTTCCATTGCATGGATGCTAACTGATGACAGTCCGACCCCGCCAACACCGACGGTATGGACTCTCTCGACGTCGATGGCGTCAGCTTCACCAATATGCGCATCGATGTCGGAGATGACTGCTTCTCGCCGAAACCGAACACGACCAACATTTTCGTGCAGAATATGTGGTGCAATAACACGCACGGGGTGAGTATGGGTAGTATTGGCCAGTACGCGGGCGAGATGGATATCATTGAGAACGTGTACATCGAGAATGTGACGTTGCTGAATGGACAGGTACGTCTTCTCGTTCCCCACTGACCCATATTACAAGACTGATGTGGAATAGAACGGCGCCCGCCTCAAAGCCTGGGCCGGCCAAGACGTCGGCTACGGCCGCATCAATAACGTCACGTACAAGAACATTCAGATCCAGAACACAGATGCGCCGATCGTGCTGGACCAGTGCTACTTTGATATCAACGCTACAGAGTGTGCTAAGTACCCGTCTGCTGTGAATATCACGAATATCCTGTTCGAGAATATCTGGGGCTCTTCCTCGGGCAAAGATGGCAAGATTGTAGCCGATCTGGTGTGTTCGCCAGATGCGGTGTGCACGAACATTACTTTGTCGAACGTCAACTTGACGAGCCCGAAGGGCACTGCAGAGATTGTTTGCGATGACATTCAGGGAGGAATTGGGGTGGATTGTGTGAGTGATGAGAGTGTTACGCGGTAGTGCTCTACTTGGTGGTTCTTCAACTAGTTAGGGTCTGTCGTTGATGATTTGTCATTCATGGCAGTAAAACAGATAGAACTATGTTTATTTACATATTACACCCTTTCTTTTAGTAAAGTAAGCAATGTGGTACGACACTGAGTACCTTGGTAATAGACCATATGTGAATGGTAAGTAGTATGTAGTACCTTGTAGACAAGAGGACCTTGGGTGCAAACCAATCAGAGCGGAGATGAAACTAACCAACCCTAAGTAGTATACATTAGTATATACACCTTGGTGGTGACACCTATATAAGACAAATTATTTAAAAGTATTACTGACACGTTTTCGAATCTTTTCATTCTCTCAAAAGCCACAAGAATCTATAACTAAGAAAATGATCGACTCCGGCAAAGAATCCCTTCACCCAGCAACCCCTCACAATGCACTGGACAGCCCAGCTCCATCCAAGAGGAGAAAGCTACCTGTTACACTTCTTTCTGGATTCTTAGTACTTCTCCCTCCTACATTCTCAAAGTCACAAAGACTAATATAATAAACCTCCAGGGAAGCGGTAAAACCACCCTTCTCGAACACATCCTCCTCTCACCCGACCATGGCCTCCGCATCGCAGTCATAGTCAATGACATGAGCAGGTACATCCATCTATACCCAATTCTCGATTCGATTCCCATCTAATATGGAGGTATAGTTTGAACATCGACGCAACCCTAATCAAACACCACCACACCGTCTCCCACACGAAGGAATCCCTCATCCAGCTACAAAACGGCTGCATATGCTGCACACTCCGCGGGGACTTACTCGCCGAGCTAGCTCGACTCGCATCCCAAGATGGAGTCGAGTACGTCGTTATCGAGAGCACAGGGATTAGTGAGCCGATGCAGGTAGCTGAGACGTTCACGGCGGAGTTTGGGGCTGCCATGTTGGAGGCGGATGGGGATGGGAGTGGTGTTGATCAGGTGTTGAGTGCGGAGGAGAGGAAGGTTATTGAGGATATGTATGTTCCCTCTTTTCCCCTTCTATTGCATGAGTGATGTGTGCTGATGGATTGGTATGTACAGTGTCAAACAAGGCGGTCTCCACACCCTCACTACCCTCGACACCACGGTAACCGTCATCGACGCATTCAATCTCCATTCTAACCTGGACACCGCGGAATTTCTGTCCGATAGATATACCTCCGGGGAAGTAATCCCCGAGGATGAGCGAACCATTTCCGACCTGATGGTCGATCAGATCGAGTTCGCGGATGTGATTATCATCAACAAGATTGATCTCGTTGATAAGGTTGCTAAAGAGAAGATCCACACGCTGATCAAATTGCTTAATCCCGCGGCCAAGGTCATGGAGGCGAAGTACTCCAAGATCGATGTTAGGGAGATCCTGGGCACGGGGAGGTTTGATTTCGTCAAGGCGGCGAGTGGTGCGGGCTGGCTGAGGAGTCTGCATGAGATGAGTCGGTTGAATACTGGGAATGGAGACAGGGTGGCGCCGCGGCCGGAGACGGTTGAGTAAGTTTATTATCTCTTCTTCGTTTGACTGTTATGTGGCTGTGGTTGTGGTTTGCTCTTTGGCTAATAATGTTGGCAGGTATGGGATTAATAACTTTGTGTATACGGCTAGACGGCCGTTTCATCCCAGGAGGCTGTTCAAGTTGCTCCATGATAAGTTCATTATCTTGCAGAATGCGGCTGGGGCGGATGATGATGATGAAGATGAAGAAGATGATGAAGAGGATGATGATGATGACGAAGAAATGAAAGATGACGATGAAGATGACACCGAAGACGAGGAAGAAGAAGAAGACGACGAAGAAGACATCACCTCCATCCCCCCCGAAACCATCCTTTCCAACAAACGCTCTGACCCCATCCTCGCCCCAATCCTCCGCTCCAAAGGCTTCTTCTGGCTTGCCACCCGCCCATACCAATTCGGCGAATGGAGCCAAGCCGGCGCCATGCTCACATTGGGCTGTGGTGGCGGGTGGTTCGCCGAACTACCTGACGAAGCATGGCCGGAGGATGCGGACGTGCGCAAGTCCATTGAAGACGACTTCAAGGGTGAATGGGGCGATCGGCGTCAGGAGATTGTCTTCATTGGTGAGGGCATTGATACGACAGCAATTAAAAAGCTGCTTGATGAGTGTCTGCTAGACAAAAAGGAGATGAAGAAGTGGGAGAAAGTGATGCGGACGAAGGGGGTCAAGAGGGCCGAGAAGCAGGAGGTTATGGCGGGGATTTGGGAGGATGGATGGGAGGATTGGCCTGATTTGGAGGAGGATGATATTAAGGATGAGGAGGAGGAGAAGAAGGGGGAGAAGAGTGGGAAGAGGAAGGCAAGTGAGTTGATGAATGGTCATGGACATGGACATGCTCATGCTCATGGGCACTCCCATGCACATGGACAGGGACATAAGACTCGACCAGTGGTTAAGAAATGATGTTCATTATAGACTATTATTTACTACTAAAAGTAACTATTTGCATAAATCATGAAACTATATACTCTCACACCATATCCACAGTATCTACCACCCCTCCACCCTCCTCATCCTCAAATGCATCCCCTCTACCGGCTTCGTCGTAACCGCCCCAGCAATATGAATAACCTGCGTTGGATCTTTCATCTCCACCTCATACCTCCCCAACACCCCTGCCAACGCACATCTCAACTCCGCCTTAGCGAAGTCCTTCCCAATACACGCCCTCTGCCCATGCAAAAATGTGATCTGAGCGTAATTCGTCCCCGCCCCTCCATGTCCATTCACCACCTGATTTCCCTCCTTATCTGTGTCCACCCACCGCTCTGGTCGGAACATATCGGCGTCCTCACCCCAGAATTCCGGACTACGGTTAATAGCGTACGGGCAGAGAAGGAGTCTCGTCCCTTTCGGAATGGCAGTGTTAGCGACGGTGGTGTCGCGGATGGATTCGCGGAGAGTCAGCGGGACAGTAGGATACAGGCGAAGGACTTCCTGGACGATGCCGTTTAGCAGAGGAAGGGATTCGAGGTCTGCGTGGGTGATAGGGGAAGATGCTGTGGGGATACGGGAGCGGATTTCATCCCGCAGGAGGGGTTGGTATGTTGGGTGTAGTGTGAGGAGGTAGCAGGCCCAGGTGAAGGCGCTGGCGGTTGTTTCGTGCTATTTATATTTAGTATATATTCCTCTACAATTTGGGGAAAGTATGGGGGTGATAGGGACATACACCAGCAGCCAGGAAGGTCAACATCTGATCAACAAGCTCATCATCACTAAAGTCACCGCCCAGCATCATCGTACCGAGGATATCAGCTTCTAGTTCTGCAGCAGTGGCTTTCGTTTCGAGTATCGCGGCTCTCTTCTCTGCTACAATGTCCTTGCAGAGATCCCGGAGGTAGCCTGTTTCTGTGTCGATGACTTTGTTCAGGCGCCAGGGCAGTTTGCGCGCAAACCATTGCGGAAGAAGCACATTGACTGCTAAGAAAGCGATCTTCTCGCGTGTCGGCTCCAGGATAGCGAGGAAGCTGTCGGCGACTTTGTTCTCGGGGTTGTGGAGCGATCGAAAGTCGCGGCCCATGGCGGCGGGACCGATGATGTCCAGTGTAAGGCGACTATTCCTCACTTAGTATGGTATTCCGAAGGTAAAATGGTGGCGTACCTCGCCCAAACACTCATCTCCACACAGCCCTCATTCGCATCCATCTCCTTCTGCAACTCATCCATCAACAAACCCGTCTTCTCCCACATTAGCCCATACAGCGCACGAATATGCCGCACGTTAAACGATGGCGTCAAAGCTCGACGCTGCTTCTTATGTGCGCTGCCCTCGGATAGAATCAGCCCGAAGCCGATGATCCTTGCTAGGAACTCGCGGGTGCGCCAGGGCTTCTCAAAGTCGTAGGTGTTAGTGCTCATGATATCCAGCAGGGCCTGGTGGTTCGTGGCGAGCAGGAAGCTGCGGTTGAAGATGTCGCGGAAGTGGATGAGACCATTGTTGGGGATGCTTTTCATCCATTGTAGTGGGAGACGGCCGCGGGGGTCGTCAAAGAGGACGCGCGCGTGGTTGAGGTTGCCCTGGTATCTTTAGTGACTATATCGTAATGAGAAAGCAGCTGATGAATTATACCGGTAGGGTGGGCAAATGACGCAACGGAGTCACCCAGTATGGATAGATAACGACCCCCCAGACTAATCGGAGGATAAGATTGCCTGCCAGTGCCAGCAGCGTCACACTGCGAAAGGCCCAGTCGGGGAGTAAACTGTGTTGGAGGAGGTAGCCCTCTACGAGGGACGCTCCCAGCAGCACGAGAGAGTCCATGATGTGGTACAATGTTGAACAGACATTGCAGGGAGTAAGTTCAAGTTGAGAGTATAGATGAGCAGGAGAAATAATGAGGTCGTGAAAAGGGTATGATGATCGACGTCGCATTCAGGGTCGGTTGGATGCAACTTGCCTCGGTTGCGTGGACCGACGATCAGCCCTAGCCCCTCATCTCTCAACATTATCAGATAGACTAGTCTGGAGTATACCCCAATGCTTTGATGGGAATAGGAACAAATTCGCATGGGATCGGCACCGTTGATCGGCGTCAATGCAAACCAGTGGATCGCATCTCCGCATTTTGTTGTGTCCGAAAGTTAACCGCGGATCAATCGCAATGATTTCCCCTTTGGGGAGTCTCAGTTTCTGGTATGTACAGAATGCCACATTCATGCCACAATCTTCAGCCATGTGAGCCTCGGTCTTCCGGTAAATAGATATATGGCAAGGGCCGCCACGCTCTTACCTTATCTTAGCTTGATCAAGGTACCTTCAACAATTCACCACCAATTAGAATAGCTTTCCATCATGTCATTCATCCCTCCTGTCGTCCACGAATGGACTCAAACTGCCCTGGCCAATCTGCCTCCTCCAGTGCAGCAGGCATTGCTGCACCCGCTGGTTCCTAAAGCTCTCGCTGCCATCCTAGCTTTCACTGCACTGCGCCAAACCAACCGCGCCTTCAACTCGCTATCCCTTAGCAACTTCAGCACCCGGAAATGGGACAACGCCCGCGAACTCGTCCTCCTCACGGGCGGATGCAGCGGCATCGGTAAACAAATCATGACAGAACTATCCAGCCACGGCGCGAAAGTCATCATTCTCGACATTAATGAACCCTCCTTTAAGCTCCGTACGTCCCCCTCCCTATGTAAAACTTCTCAGCTACTAACACAAAATAGCACCCAACGTCCACTTCTACAAAGCAGACATCACCTCCTCCGCCGCGCTGCACCCAGTCGCCGAACAAATCCGGCGCGAACATGGCCACCCCACAGTCCTGGTGAACAACGCGGGCGTTGCCAACGACGGGACAATCCTCGACGAAACCGAGGCGAAAATCAGATTAACGTTCGAAGTTAACACGATATCGCACTTTCTCATGGTGAAGGAGTTCCTCCCCGCTATGATTGAGCGCAATCATGGCCATGTAGTGACAGTGGCTAGTTTGGCTAGCTTCATGTCTCTCGGGGAAATTGTGGATTATAGTTGTTCGAAGGCAAGTGCGTTGGCGTTTCATGAGGGGTTGGGGCAGGAGTTGAAGTATTGGTATAAGGCTACGGGGGTGAAGACTAGGTGAGTTTCCTTCAGCTCCCTTTTGATGCAGGGAAGAGTGCTAATAGTGTATAGTGTGGTCCACCCACTTTGGGTCCGCACACCCATGATCCAGCAGCTTACGGATGCCGGGAAGCAATTCAAACAGCCCGTTTTGACGGTGGAGAGGGTGGGGAATACGATTGCGAAGCAGATTCTGTCTGGAAGGAGTGGACAGATTATTCTGCCTGAATCATTGTGGTGGATTAGTTTGGTGCGGGCGTGGCCGACGTGGTTGCAGGAGACGGCGAGGGGGTTGGCATCGAAGGATTTGGTCAAGTTGAGGGCGTGGCAGAAGGAGAACGATGTTTGTAAATAGTGCTTACAGTAGTTAATTGTGGAGTTTAGCCTTCTGTATATTGATAATATTATCTGATCGGTATTACTATGAGTGGTTTCTGTTAAAGATACAATGCATCAATAATTTATCCCATATACATACTTAGAATCAAACAAGTTTCGGTGTGGCTACTTGGTTAATGTGTATGTGATATGTCAAAATCCATTGTAAGGCAGACACTGCTATGTGGCCTCTCGTCTTGATCCATCTTAGAATTGACATATTCCATGTCCGTTGCATATGTAGTATTCAAAGATTCGCAATAAAAACAAGCTATGTCAATAATCAACTATCCACTACCACCATTCTATACTTCTTTCCAGTCATACATCATCTACGTTGCATCCATCACAAAGTCTCCCCCAACCACCCCCTCACCCTCATCCCCTGCCCCGTCTCCTCCTTCTCCCCAATATACAAATTATAAATGGGTGCCACATGTCCCTCTCCCTCCCCAACACAAAACTCCACCTCCCCTGCAAATCCCTCCCTCAACTTCTCCACGAACCCCTCAATCACAGGCAACAGAATCTCCCTCCCGCCACCACAAACCAACACCTTCTCCACGGGTAAGGTCTCAAACCACTCCGCTGGTGCAGTGGACAAATCCGTATAATGGTCCCGTTCCCCGGACCCAAGGTACGCCTTTGCCCAAGGTCCCGCAACAGCAGGGGTAATTAAATCCCCGCGCGAATCGATCACCTGGTCGGTGTAGTCCGTGACTAGACTGGTCCAGGGTGCGATCATGATTGCTCCGCGGAGGGATTCTTGGCAGGGGATGGGGGTGATCTGAGGGTGGGGATGAGCGAGGTGGGAGAGGACTCCGCCGACGAGGTTCCCGCCTGCGGAATCCCCGCCAAGGAGAATTTGGGAAGGGGAGTGCGTGTTAAGGATGTGGCGGAGAGCGGAGGTTGCTTGGCGCAGTTGCGTTGGGTAAGTGGCCCCCGGGGCGAGAGTGTAGGTGAGCGTAAAGATGGAGAGCGATTTATTGTGGAATTTACGCAGGTGGGTGATGAGGTTCAGGAAGAACTGGAAGTAGCCTTCGTTGGCGGGGAGGGTGAAGCCGCCTCCTATATCTGTTGTTAGTTTGTAGAGATGGGATGGTGGAAGAGGGAAGGGGAAGGGGATGTACCGTGATACCAAATCAAGATATTGTCCGCTTTCGGGTCCCCGATCCAATGTCCCAGAGCCCCGTCGCCCAAGTTTACTGTCTTGGAGGGTAGCTTGTGCTTCCGGACGTAACGTTCGTAGGTTTGATCAGTGGTTGGAAGAGCATATCTGGGTTGTCAGTGGATGAACACAAGAGGTTGGTGGTGTCATGTAACGCACTGCATTTGGGCCACTGTCAAGCGGGCTGTGGCTTTGCGAAATGCTGCATAGCCAATATGCAGCATCAACGTCTTGGGATATGCGGCAGAACGATAAAGGGAGGTCAGAAGGGCCCAGAAAACTGTCAAGGTAATAGATGCGAGAGCTGGCACCAAGTCCAGTTTCTCCGCCAAAGAGAGCGAGATTTTGGGAGCGATCATATCGGGTAGGATACCTGTCTCACAATAGTTCTGTTTACAGTAATGACTACATCCTGGCTGTGCGACAGCGAGTTTAAGTCTTCACGGGCCCCTGTGGCACCCAGCCTGAACTGCAAAAGATCCAAGGGGCCGGTTCGGTCCAGTGGCATGTGAGGGTCGCAAGGGTTTCCGCTTTGGGAGGGATTGCCCGCTGATCGCCAGGCCCATTTTTTGATGCCTCAACGGCCGGCGGTTACGATCTATCAGGATAGCCTCGGACTCATCATGGCGCTGCATCTGCAGCCGAGGCCATGTGAGCTGCTTGTCTCGTTATAAGTAGCCTGTACAACCACCCGAGTTCATCATCACCATCATTATACTGCTCTTTTGTTCGTCATGGATACCGACTTGGATGTTGTCATTGTCGGTGCCGGCATCTCTGGCATCAATGCGGCATACCGCATTCAATCTCAGTTCCCCAACTATCGTTATACTATCCTAGAAGCCCGCGATGCTCTTGGCGGTACCTGGGATTTCTTTAAATACCCCGGCATTCGCTCCGACTCCGATCTCTTCTCCTTCGGCTTCTCGTGGTTCCCCTGGGATGGCAACAGCCCTATCGCCGAGGCCCCCTCTATTGTCTCATACTTGCACCGCGCCACTCGCAAACATGGCATCGACAAGAAAATCCGCTACCAGCACCGTCTCCTCGGCGCCGACTGGTCCTCGTCCGACCAGCTCTGGTCCCTGACCGTCGACCACGATGGGCAATCTCGCGCCCTGACTGCACGGTTCGTCATTTTTGGCACCGGCTACTACGACTACAGACAACCTCTTGAAGCCGATATCCCGAACCTCTCCCGGTTCACTGGGGAAGTCATCCATCCTCAATTTTGGCCCGAATCCCTCGACTACAGCAACAAGAACATCGTAGTAGTCGGCTCCGGCGCCACAGCTATCACCTTGATCCCCAAGCTGGCCGAGAAGGCCGCGCGGGTAACCATGCTGCAGCGCAGTCCAACCTACATCCTCTCCCTTCCCAACAGCAACCGCTCGTGGTACAGCTACATCTTGCCCGCCGCCCTCTCGCGTCGCATTCAGCGCATCACCTGGTTCATCAGCGGCCACCTCTTCTTCCTGTTCTGCCGGACCTTCCCTACCATTGCGCGCTTCCTCCTCCGCCTCTCCGTCTCCGGCCAACTCCCCGCCCACGTACCCCACTCCCCGCACTTCAAACCCCGCTACAACCCCTGGGATCAGCGTCTCTGCATCTGCCCGGACGGCGACTTCTTCCGCGCCCTGCACACCGGCCACGCCGACGTGAAAACAGATACCATCTCCACCGTCACTGAATCCGGTGTCGAGCTCTCCTCCGGCGATTCCCTCTCCGCAGACATCATCGTCACAGCCACAGGGCTAAGACTGCTCATTGCCGGCGGCGCTTCCGTCACCGTCGACGGTGAACCCATCCACATCCCGAGCAAGTTCCTCTGGCACGGCATGATGATGCAGGATCTGCCCAATGCAGCGTTCGTGATCGGGTACACGAATGCGTCGTGGACGTTGGGCGCCGACGCTACGGCGTTGTTTGTCTGTCGGTTGTTGAAGCAGTTGGAGACGGCTGGTGCGAAGGTAGCCATTCCACGGTTGCAGCCGGGTGAGGCGGGAAGCCTAAAGGAGCGGCCGCTTTTGAATTTGAACTCAACGTATATCACCCGCGCGTCGGGGGCGTTGCCGAAGGCGGCGGATCGGGGACCGTGGGTGTCGCGGGGGAATTATCTGAGGGATGTGTGGTTTGCGGAACATGGGAATTTGGATGGGTTGGTGTTTGAGGGGGGGAAGAAGCAGTTGTGATATTGGGGTAGTGGCTTAGATTATGGATGATTTCATGCTACTTTCTTTTTTGGCGGATTGGTTGATAATTGATTGGTTAACTTGTTGCTCGATATTGATGCTCATGTACCATGACTGGCGTATATAAGTATATCCTGTTCGTTCTTGTTGGGTTGAAGATATCTATGCAGATAAATCTCCTGTTAGTAGTGTCATACATGTTGCATCCTGTATAAGAGACATTCCCCTGTCATGCTTACATCCTGTGGTGTAGGAAGACATTAACATATACAACGTAGTAAGCGCAGCTTCATGCCATGTCCGTATCCATACATTTGATACCTTATTGTAGAAGTTATAGTTCGACTAATACTCCGTACAATGGATAGTTCGTGATATGGGTGGATATTGGATATGAAATGACATCATACCCAAAAACAGCAATCTACATCCCGAACTCGGCTGCCGACACTCTATGGAGAGTAAGAAGTCAAATTCCTTCCGGGCGATCCGCATCTCCACTTTAGATATTGTCATGTTCTAATTGTTACCTTGAAAGTGCAAATCCCTGCTTGCTGTGAAAATGTGGACTCATGTTGGGGGTATACTATCGCATGTGTGACTCCCGAGACGTGTTCCGAGAGATGGATTTCGATGAAGTACGGTGCCACAGATGGTAGAAATTGACGCGGTAAGAAGCAGATAGAGGTTGCCGACCCATCAACCGGTTGAAGTTGTACAAGTGGTAGAAGTGCACTGGTACACATGATGTCACTGCTCTGGTTCAGTATAAGTATGCTCACTCAACTTACCTCTATCTTTCTACGATAACTTCTAAACCATACCTACCCTGCACGACACTATACACAGTACGAGAATCAGAATGAACACCTACAAAGACACCTTCCACCTCCCCCACATCAAGGGTCAACCCCTGCACGTTCTAATCGTCGGCGCCGGCATCGCAGGCCTCTCGGCCGCCCTGGCGATACACAAGACCGGCCACAAAGTCACCATTCTCGAGCGGGTGCGGGAAATCGCCGAGGTCGGGGCAGGTATCCAGATGGCGCCGAATGCGGCGCGGATTCTCGGTCGCCTGGGTTTGCTGGAAAAGGTCATGGAGAAGGCGAATGCGCTAGAGATGAATTCTCTCCGCAGGTATAAGAACGATGAGGAATTGGGGAAGGCGGAGTTGATGCCTTCCGTATGTTATGCCTTACCTTGCGTTTTGTCATTGCGGGGCTTCTGTGGAAGCTAATGTGGTGTAGGTCGGAGAAAAGTATCACGCTCCCCTTGCAGTCATCCATCGTGGCGACTTACAAAGTATCCTGCTTGAGGCGGTACGATCGGAAAATATCCCCATTCGAACTGATTCGCGAGTCGTCTGTGCGGCGCCCGATTTCTCTGCGCGCGTGCAACTTCATACCGGGGAATGGGTATCCGGGGATGTTGTCATCGGGGCGGATGGGATCAAGTCCGATCTGCGACACCAGATGGCGGCGCATCATGGAGTGAAGGATATTTGTCAGCCGACCGGGGATGCGGCGTACCGGATCCAGATCCCTGAGGATAAGATGAAAGGGGATCCGCGGGCGCGGGAACTATTGAAGAAGAATGTTGGGATGCGGTGGATGGGGC